CAATATGAACTTTTTTTTCGTCGTGAGAAACTCTCTATTCGAATATAAATCCTTCACGAATGAAACTATTTTCGACAAAATCTCAATCCGAATCTCATTGTCTCTCTCAAGATTTATCAATTCATAAAAATGGCTAATTTTTTTTTTTTACTTTTTCTAAATTTTTTGCTAATTAATTTTATTTTTAATTTTTAAAATTAAATATTTGTAAAATAAACTGCAAATTATTTTGAATTTTTTTTTGGGATAACAAAGAAATGAAATATTTATAAAATTAATTTTTATTTAAATAAAAAACTATTGTGACGTAATCTAAAAGTTAATAATTAATTGAAATAGTAAGGGTAAAATTGGAATTTTATTTTTGTTGTGAGATCGTCAGTATGAAAATAACAACATTTAATTGTTTGGATATTAAATCGCACAATTTTATTAATATGTGTATTTTTCTTCCAACCGAAAACAATTGGGTATTAAACGTCCAAATAAAAAATAATTGAGGTTTTTTTTTGGAATTTTCCCATAAAAATTCTTCACGAGACATTTCGGGACACCATCGAAACACCAGTGACTTCAAACATTTATAGTTTTGGTGCGAATCCTTATTTAATAAATCACAAGTCATTTCTCTAATAACTGCACATTTATCCTTCAACTACGTGTCTTAAGTCTTAAATTATGTACTTTCACTTTTTTCTTTTTTTACACTAATTTACGATTAAAATCAAAATTGACTTTTCCCCAGCACCTCTCCCCCCGCCCCCCACCACCACCCACGATCTCTTGCTTCCCTTACAAAAAAAAAAACAAACTTCCACATCTTCATTTTTTTTTTAATTCTGTTTTCATGCAACTTTTCTCGAAATAAAAAAAATTTTGAAATTTCAAAGATTTTGTTTTCTTCTAATTTACCCAATAACTAGGTTTCTCATCCCGACTATGAAATTAGTTTTCTTTTACCTTGCAAAATATCTTTGAGAAACTAATGTTATTTTCGGCCGTGCAGAGCACGGGTCAAACACTAGTTGAAACATATTACTAGAAGATGAAGATTAGCCCTTTCTGTTTCATGAAAACAGATAACGAATGAAGAAATGTGATTTTAACTTCAAAATGTACAAAACATTTTTTGATAGCTACTAATTCCTATTCTCCACCAGCAATTTCTTTCGCATCTTCATCGATTTCATCAACTTCATCTTTCTTGTCACCTACTACATCAGACACAATTTCCATCCCTTTCTTTATTCTCTCTATCTCCTTCTCTTTCTCTTCCAGTTTCTCTTGCAATATTATCACCTGACATTCATCAAAGTCCCATTTTTAAAACAATACCATAATCAGATTCTTCCGTTTAAGAAAAATCGAATGGAATTAAGAGATAAGAGAAAAGGATCAACACCGTTTCATTTGATCTCTCAACATCATTGGTTAATTCCTCCATGTGTTTGTATAGTCCTGCATTCCACAAAACCTCAGATCCAAATTCCAACTCTACAAAAAAACTTTGCTAGAACTAATATCAACATATGACTTACCTTCAAATTGACTTCTAAGTTCTGCGTTTTGAGACTTCTGCATTGTAAGCTTTATTGCTAGTTCATGAATCTGCCATTCCACATGAACATAGGCAAGCATCAATTTCTTTACCCTTTTCAGGGAATCATGATTTACAAAGGTTGAAGACGACTACTGCCTTACTATAATTCAAATAATTCCAGACTGAAGACTGAGAGTAGAACAAACTATACCTTTCCTTCAGCAGCTTGGTGCCCAATCTCTTCATTTTCCTCTTGCAGGGTTTTGCACTTTGCCATAAGCATCTTTCCATTCTTGCTTTGAGGAGTAAAAGTAACGGCTGAAATGTTGTCCTGGAGTTCCTTGATCTTCTTGTCTTTTTCCTCAACTAGATTCTGCATAAGAACATGGGGTCAAATTTCATCTACTCTTACTTAGTTGCAACATATGTATATAAAAACAAAGGTTGGGGGTGCTCGTCCTCAACTGTATCTACAACCTAAGAGAAGATCAAGCAAATTGAACTTTTACCAGGAATATATGGAGACAGTGTCAGCTATCAGTTATTAAGGAATTATCTTTCAGGTCTTTCATAACTATAGCGAGATTTTGTTTAGTAGCTACAGTTTGGATTATTTAAGGATATATTACGACAAATACATTCTTATGAAAAAGTAGTCTTAAGGGTAAACTAGAAAAGAGTAGGTGCAGACCTTCAGACGTGAAAATTCCTCATGAATTGCTGGATCCAGTAACAACCTCCTCGCCTAGAAAGTTAAACCAAGAATAAATCAACCACACTGCTATCTGATCATGACAAGCTGCTAAATGACCATTGCAATTCAAAAATTATACCCATTTCTTCTATTTCAGACTTATTAATAATTCAGACGCCAGGTAAAGGTTTACAAGAAACATGCGTTTATAGTCGTATTAAGACTGAATCACTGAAATCTAAAAGGCTAGGAAAAGGTTTCCCTCTACATGCATCAAGGTCGAGGATGACAGTCATAAAAGGTACACTATGGCATAAAAAGTGGAGGACTATGCCTAGAAAAATCCAAGTTACTTCAACAGCTAACTTTCACGATTTGTATTGTTGGCACAATTGTATAAACTATTCCAGAATTAAAACATTGGGAGAACTGTATACCTGCATTGACGCTGGCTTGAGTTGAGATTTCAAATCGCGAACAGCTGACTAGAAATACAAATACAAGACTGTGTTTAGCGACATTTCTTCTATGTAATGGTCAAGAAAACATGTGATAGGCAATGAGAGTATCAGTCAGGAATCAAAGTGGTAGGTAATGAGTTTCTTGAGAATTACCTTCAATTCTGCCATTTCCTGTTCCCGTTTCGCATATTGTACAATGCATGACGCTTCTTTTCTCTTTGCGATTTCTAACTGAAAAGAGAAATTAACCATCAAACCTTATTTCAAAAATCAAGACCTTCTTATTGATATATACACAACTTCATACTCAAATACAAACCTGTTCTTTCAAAGATCTCTCAGAAGATTTTAGATTTTGAATATAGTCAATCAAAAATCTAGGTTCTGGAAAAAAAAACAGTACCAAACAGAATCACAATGGATGGTCAAGCATTAGCATTAGATATAACAATGTGCAAAACAACATTAACAGAGAGAGGCTAACCAGGAGATTTCCCAGCGGGAACAAAGGACTCATTCTGAAACGCTGATTTCCACTTCTGAATCTCTGTTTTCGCTGATTCAAGCTCATTCTAACCAAAAAGATATAGTTACATACAAAAGCGATGAAACGATAAACAGCAATAGTATAGAATGAAATAGATTAGAGAAGAATAGTAACAATACTTGACATGAAGCAAGATCATCTTTACAATTCTGAAGACTGCCACAGAGAAAGCAAAAGAAACTTAGAATAATACATCAAAGCAAAACACTTTTCTCTTCGCACTGAAAAAACATGAAGAAAGGATTGGATAAAAAACCTCTCACGAAGTGACAAAATCATCCCAGTTGCAACACCAGGTGCAGCTTCCTCCACTTTAGTTCGACCCTAAACGGCGACCATTGATCAAGCAAGTGAGTAAAAACTGAACTTGTGATATATAAAATTCAAAGGCGCTACCTTTTTTGATCCGAAAATATCATCTTCATCGTCTTCAAGATCACCGAAGCTTCTTTTATTACCTGAATGATACAGATGAAAAGTGGGAAAAATTCCAATCCAATCTAACCAAAAACCATGAATTTGTGAGGAATCCATTAATGTGGAGGAGACCTGAAGCCCTGGTGGCATTTGCAGCGGAATAATCTCCTCCAAAATCGTCGTCTTGTAAGGAAAACGCCATTGGAGCAAGTTCCTTGAGATTTCTGCGGGGATTGTCGCTGGTAGAGTGACGGAGTGTGACGAGCGCGACGGTAATTGAGAATTTAGGGTTTTAGATTTGGGGGAAGAGGAGTGGAGAACGTGGTCACCCGGGTCACGGTCTGGATCCGTTTTTGTTTCACAATAAATTTTTAGTAATTTAAAAAAAAAGACATTACTTATTTGACTATAGAAAAATAAAGGGTCATTTGCAAGAATAACACTTTTCTACTAAAATATTAAGAATATAGCACATTATATGTATCAATTAAGTAAATAACATCAAGGGTATGGAAAATGACCAATGGTGGTAGTGGTAATTTCGGCGATGGTGGTTCCGGCGCTATTCTGGCGGCGGAGGTCCCGGTCCGGCGATGGTGGTGGTTCCGGCGACGGAGGTCTGGCGGTGGTGGTTCCGGCGACGGAGTTCCGGCAGTGGTGGTTCCGAAGACAAAGCTCCGACGGTGGTGGTGCCGGCGACGAAAGTCCGGCGGTGGTGATTCCGGCGATGGTGGTTCCGGCGCCGGAGGACTGGCAGTGGTGGTTCCGGCGACGGAGGTCCGACGGTGGTTCTGGGCTGGGGTGGTGGTGATGAGTAGTGATGGTGGTGAGGACATAATTGTATTATTATACTTTATACAGCCAATATCATTGTATTTTTTTGTATAGGTTAGTTTCTTAATTTATATTTTTTTGTTGGTTATAGATCCAAATTTTCCAAAAAATAATCCAATTATTTGTTTCCTTCTGTTTTTTTTTTAACAAGTTCATTATCTGACTATGGGCCTATGGGCCTATGGGCTATGGCTACGTTTTTTTGTGATGGTTCGAGTTTTGTAACAATTAGAGTGTCAATGCTTAATGAGTTCGTGTGTATTGTGTGGCTCGACACAATCTTTATCACAACTTTAGTCTCTTGATTTTTTTTCAGTTGTCGATAACCTTGTATGTTTTTGTAGCCATAATCCTCTAGTCTTGTGTATGTTGTCATGTTGGTTTATTATGTGTTTATTTTTGAATTCAAGCTTTGTTCTAGTTCTCTGCACATTGCCTATACAGAGATTTTTGCTCATTGATAAAACATATAAACTATAATGTTACTAGAGCCGAAAACAAACAACATCAGTCATATCATATTCCATTTACCAAATTGTCAAATTGACTGTGTAAGTAGTAACATACAAAACAAATGAGTAATAGTAGACCTAATGTAGCTAATAGGTATAGCCTCTCTCTTACAAACTCAAGTGTTCTAGGCACGAAGAAACGACACAACAACCAGTCAGAGATGACAAAAATGTCAAGCTGTTGTATTCAGAAATTGCATATATATATGAAAGACACTAAACAAACCAGTTCTCAACAAACGGGAAGCACATTTGTTTCTCTTATCAGATATGGAAGTTCATGCTGAGGCAAAACAAACTGGAAACTTGACCTGGACTTTGCATTCAGACGAAGCTCTTTCGAGCATTAGGAGATCCAACATGATCTGCAGCTTTTCGTCATCTCTTCTTGCCTGACCATGAATTTCCAACAGCTCAAGACTCGGCAATTTCTCCAAGATATGCTTTATTTGCACCATCTCTCCAATATCTCCCTCGAACTGGGTTATCCTTAGAACCTCAATATGACAGGACGATAGGAAAGAATACCCCTTCAAGCATTCGCAAACAGTGTCTTCTTGAGTAGAATAATGCAAAGCCTAGAAAAGACAGGAGAGATTGAAGATTTTGTGATTTTTTTATTCCTTTGTTTGTCCAATATACTTTTGGCGGTCTTAGGTCATACCCCAATGGTGAGAGTCTCTAGATTTGGAGATTTCTCAAGCAGAATTGGCAGAACATCCCAACAGAAAGCTGCTTCAGTGGTAAGTGATAAATGAAACAGGTTTTCAAACACTGGTACTGCTTCTCTGAAGATGTAAAACAGCTGGAACAGAATTAAAAACAAACTAGTAGTCAGTCATAACTTCAACAAACATTCCAATGTCTAGCAAGATTATGATTTTAGTATCTCAATGGTTCCTAGATATAAATTTCCTCATGATCTAGTAGTTTTTAAGCTAAAGTAACATATTAAAGAGAAACAATAGAGATCACCTACCTGCATGGTGTCAAGAGCACCAAAGCTCAGAATCTGAACATTTTTTAAGCCCTTAATCAGATTCCTAACATCGTAGGTATCGCCAACCATGAAAAGAGGAAGTTCTAGCTTAGCTTCAACAAGGGATTTGAGATTAACAACTGGATACTCATCTCGGAGAACATCAAAGTATTCAAAGTATTCAAGACTCGGAGTATCAAAACTAATAGACTCATAACTAGAGCCATCAAGATCTCCCCAGTCTTGACGCCGAATAGTAAGTCTCTTAAGGATCTGACTAGACACAATGCGAGACCATTCCCAGTCTTCACGGTTGTTCCTATATATGAATAACTCCTCAAGCACAGGGCAAGCAGAAACAAGCCTTGCAAACGCACAACCACCACTTTTATCATTGAACCGGACTTTATCAAGAAAGAGAGTCTTAAGAGCTGGAAGCAAAGCGTTCTTAGGGATATTATCAATAACAAAAGCAGACCCTAGCTTCAATTTCACAACTTTCTTGCAAGTGAAGACCTCACATGGCAGTGTATAATCTTCATCGACATTTATGTCCAATTCAAGATCCAAAACACCTCGTATCAACACATTGCGTAGACAATCGTTGACAAGATTGTACTTAGCTGAGTCAAATTCCATAGACCGCAGTTTCAAAGAGAATCTCCTTATACGGTAACTGTCACGTCGAGCCAATAATCTTGAAACGAAATCTTTGAAGCTTCCATTAGTTTCAAACGAAGGATCATAAGCAACAGTCGATATGATCGTAACCAGATTCAGGCAGTTCTTGGAGGCTATCTTTAGGTTCCAGAGTTTAGAAATGATCTCTTGAACTCTCACGATCTCACTCATGATTTCACGAATTGTAGTCGAACTCAAACGCGATAAAGAAACGCGATTAACGAAATTTGATGTACGAGTTCCTAGATATCGGCGGAATCACAAAACACCCTGGAAAAATTCAGTATACACGGCAAAATCCGCGGGAGTTACAGTTACAAGATCAGAGCAACGACACTGCTCTCGTGAAGAAGAAAGAGAGGATTAAATTGAGAAAAAGAGAGTCGAGAGAGTTTTTAACTATCTTGTAAACCTAAACCCAATATATAAGCCCAAAACCAAGCCCATTATGAGTTGAAACTTCAGCTAATGAACTTGGGCCTATAATACTAATACTACAGATAAAACCCGGGAAAACGGCCTATTCCACCCAGAACAATTTTATTTTACTTTTTTCCTGGCTGTAAAAAAAAATTACTATCTGATTATAATTTTAAAAATTAAAAATACGATTTTTTGTTCTTTTTTTGAAGAATTCATTATTTACTACTTGCAAAAAAAAGAGAAATGTATTTTGGACCTTTTAGTTCAAGTAAATCGAGCCATCATGAGTTCTTGCAAAGAAATAACCATTTGTATTATGATGCATTATTTATTTTTTCCACTCCCACCAATTTGTATTAGAAATAACCAAGTGTTTGTTAGGTTTAGGCCTAACAAACACTTGAAAAAATCCAATGGATAAAATTATTTTTTTCCTCAAAAGACGGTTTGTGGGAAAAGGATTCCTTGAATTTATGAACCATTTATTATTCTTTTTACTTTTTTGATGTAAGATATTTTAGTGACATTTAGTAATTTTTCCTTTTCAATGTCGAATTTCATTGGTGTCCAATTGCATCTAAAGAATTGTATCATTTATCCAGGAGAGACCTTGACATTAATGAGAGAAGAACACAAACTTGAATAACACACTACCTTGATTTTATTGTGATAAATTTGTCACTAACCAGTAACCAAAATTGTCCACCAAATTTTACTGTAGCTTTCTTGTTCTTGAATGTAAAAAGAGGTTAACTAATCATTTAGAGGTTAAATTAGATATTGTGACTACTAGAAAAAGTCTAAGATAGTTCCAAAACTGCAAAAGTAAATCGAGATAATGAAGGTAACAAAGTCCAAATTCATGGATTTACCTACATAAATATATTTGTTCTCTCTCTATCATTTCGTGGAAAATGTATTACCTGCATATTGATCAACTTATACTGACTGTTTTGTTTTCAACAAAAAATATATTAAAACGAAAAGAGGTCCTTAAAGACGTCTTCGGAAGGACTTGCAATGAAACTTAACCTCACGCCAAGTTAGACTTCGTTCAACTCTTTTCATAATATAATAATAGAAACAAGACTATTCAAAGAGAGTTTAAATATAAAACGAAGTTGAGTATTCAAACCAAGGAAAGAAGAAGAGAGCGGAAGAAGAAAATGGCTGCCTTATCAGAGAAAGAGGCTGAAGCTTATCTCGACGCAAGGCCTAGATATCCGATTGATTGGTATAAGAAGATTGCCGCACGGACACTTGACCACAAATTTGCTTGGGATGTTGGAACTGGTAACGGTCAGGCTGCTATTGGGGTAAGCTTTCTAATACTATCTTCTTTAGATTTGGGAAAAATCTGAAACTTTCTTTTAGTATGTAAGTCTAGTTTGTATGATTTGTGCTACCGAGATTTTGTTGATGAATCCAGAACAAGATAACAAATTTACTTAGGAGGGCTCTCATATTGAACTATTGAAGGATTGTCTATTTTTCTTTCTAGGAATTGAATGATGTCTATTATTCTAAAGATTAGTCAAACTTGGTGGCGGCAAATTTGATTGTTGTTATTCAGCCTCTTGATCTTGTTATTTTTTTTTTTTTTTTTTTTTTGGTCAAAGATCTTTGCGGTTATTTATCTTTTTTTCAGAAATAAATATTTTAAAAAAATTAACATTAAAAAAATGTAGGAAAATGATGTTAGAAAAGAAAAGATAAAAGGGCAATTGAATAAGAATTATAGTTATTGCAAATGAGCTTAGACTGATTTGGAAGAAAATGTAAAGACAAAACTGAGCTTAGGTGTTGTTTTATTTTACTAGATTCACAAAACAATATTTCATCTAACCGTAAATCAGATCATGTGGAACCGTAAATGAGCTCTAATTCATACATATAGAATATATATATAGTAAGTGAATTAGAGCAAGACTTGTAACCTAGTGGCTAGTGACTAGTTTTACTGTCGTCACCACTCAAGTTTAAGCTTGCATATATGGCATGCTGTAATCAAAATAAGGTAAGTGAACTCGCTTCTTGCATATTGCCTATTGATGTTGAGTTTTATGATACAAAAAAAATTAATATTGTTCACGATATTATACACATATAGTATATATATATATATATATATATATATATATATATATATATATATATATATAGATAGATAGTATGTGAACTAATCTTGATAATACTAAGAACCCTCTATATGTTACAGCTCGTGGAGCATTACGAGAATGTTGTGGCTACCGATATAAACGAAGCACAACTTAAACGAGCAATCAAACACTCAAGAATCAGTTACCATCACACTCCAACAACGATATCAGAAGATGAGATGGTGGCTCTAGTCGGGGGAGAAAACTCTGTCGATCTCATAGTTGCTGCTCAAGCTGTCCATTTTTTCGACCTAACCACATTTTACAATGTTGTGAAACGTGTTCTTCGTAAAGAAGGAGGCCTAATCGTCGTTTGGGTATACAATGATATCATTATCTCACCTGAGATCGATCCCATAATGAAGCGCCTTGTGGACTCTACTCTACCTTTTAGAACTCCTATTATGAATTTAGCATTTGACGGTTATAAAACGTTGCCGTTTCCTTTTGAGGCCATAGGGATGGGGTCCGAAGGAAAGCCTATTACTCTAGACATTCCGCATAAACTTTCGCTTAAAGGGTTTATAGGGTTCTTGAGATCGTGGCAGCCCGCGATGAAGGCCAAGGAAAAAGGAGTAGAGCTTATAAATGAAGATCTAATAACCAAATTTGAGGAGGCTTGGGGTGATAAAAACCAAGTTAAAGATGTTTTCTACAAGGCTCACATGATTGTTGGAAAATTTCCGGTATGACATTTTTTTTTTTGGTAATTAATTTCCGGTATGACTTCAACATCTTAAGCAATTATTTAATATACTTAATTATCACATTAAAATAACAATTAGTGTTTTGGTGAATTTGTCTTTTAACAGGAAGTAAAATTCGAATCTGATCAAGTACTGTCCCAAGACAGTAACAAAGGTCTCTTGCTAGAAACGGAGGTTGGGAGAAACCACAAAAGACGACAACCATCAGATGAAGGAGACAGTAGACAAAGTAAGAAACAAAATACAAGTGAAGATGAGGCATGAAAAGATATATGAATCATCGTCATTTTTGAGTATTCATTACGGGTTAACCAAAATAAAAAGATGAAACCAAAAAAAAAAAAAAAAAAAAAAAAGATGAAACCATCTGAGAAAGTAATGACTCTGTTTTAGATATCAATTATCAGATATTAAGATTTCAATTATTGGATTTGGAAGTTTTTGTACATCTAAGTAATAAAGTTCTTATTGAGTATGTCAATTGTTGAATATATATATATATATATATATATATATTTTAATGCATTTATCTACGTTTATTGATTTTGAACTGATATCAGAACAAATCCCTAATAAAAAGCCACTCTTGTTTCAAATTTGAATTTGATGTGTTATGAATTAGTTAAAAGTTAAAACTTTAAAAAGTTGCGACAAAAGTTAATGGAAAACAAAGTAGTCGTCGATAGCGTGATACTTAGCTTTCCTTTTAGCTTTTCTTAGAGAGTTAATAATCTTTACAAACAGCTCTTAAGTATACGTTTCAGCTAGCTTTTCTTTTTAGAGAATTAATCTTTACAAACATAAAGTTTTCATGATTTTTGTTTTCAATTTAAACCCCAGTTTTAATTATTTTTAGAGAATTAATTTTTACAAACCTATAAATTTCCATAATTATAATTTCCATAAAATCTAATCTAGTATTAGAATTATTATTTTTTATAGTTTTAGAAAACAATTAGTTTTACCAATCAAGCTTTTCAACCCATTTTACAAAATGTTTTTTACAAGTCTTTTTTATATATATAATTTTTACAACTCAAGTTAATACACACAAAATAAATTTACCTTTAAATTCTAAGAAAGTTTTTTCCTCTATCTTTATTAAGTTTTTCATTCTTTTCTCCCTTAAACTTTCTATGGTTGTACATAAACATTATTTTGTTTAATGAATTTAACATTTCAGAAAAACTGAAAAAGAAAAAAAAAAAAAAGATGCTTTGAATTGAAGCACAAATAGTTTTTCTAAATTGGATTTGAAGAATCAATGAACTAGATAGACTGGAATCAAAAGGTCAACTACTATGATTCCCGAGAAATAATCAAATATATGAGTGATCCAAAATTCTATATAATTGCACATCATTGTATATTGTATTAAGTGTCATCTTTTACTTATAAGGTCTGACAACAATTTTCGTATTATTCTATTGAAGTTGGACCTCGCAACAACCTTTCATATCAACGTTTGAAGTCTTAATTATTAGTTCATTTAGGACTCCTACATTACATAGCTTTATTTATGATCTCAATTGGTCTCAGTTTAAGATTTGATCAAATAGTTGGGTTTTTGGCGCCGAGTCCGGTTTAGGAGCAGACATGGTTCGAATCAGCTTGTTTAGAGTTAACTGAGTTTGTTATGAAGGTGTTGGGCTGTTGCTCTGTTTCTTAGAGTCGATATTTCGATTGTGAGAAGATCATATCAAGAGATTGTACTCTCCCTAAAATGATCATAGTGAATTGTTAGAGCTTGTTTGGCCAATATCATATCAAGAGATTGTACTATGCCATTAATTAGACCATTCATGAATTCTTGATTTAAAAAATGTTTCAAATGATATTGATGATTAGTTCAAACCACTAATTAACTCTCTAGGACTAAACCATGTGAACCCATAATTCTACAAGCAATCTTAAAAAAATGCATTGGATATTTGGATCTCAGTCTCTCTTGAGTCAGCGGCTCTGTGTTTTTTGCTTACAAGATAATCCAATCTTTAAATAATTGCCTTCGGGATCATTCGACGATCACTCTAAATCATATAAAATACACGCATATACAAAACTCATATTATCTATGCATGCATTTTATTGGTCTTCTTAATGTAATGTTTTATCTCGTAGATCAACATATTTTACATCTATGATACAATTTTTTTTTCTTTTTTTTTGGTTGGATTTTTTTATTTTATTATAGTTACTGAAGTATTTATTTTTCCGGATAAGTGTGTGTTTTCCTTTATTTTTTGGTAAATTTGCAAACCAAAGTGTTGGTCACCACGACACATTAACTAGGAAACCTTTCTGTGATACAAACTTCTACATGCGATGATGAACAAAAACAAAACCCAATCCATTTTCAAACTTGCGACACTCACGTTGCACAAAACCCACCTCAAACATCATAGTCTCGATGTCACATCCCAACAACTAGTTAATGTTTAACAAAAAAAAAACAAAAACTAGCTAATGTAATTCAAAAGTATATATTGATAACTGATTAAACGAGTATGTAAGAAAAGTTGACTACAAGAGAATATGGAAGCGTGGTAAGACTGAAACTAAGACTTTCAATGAAATAAAAAAGCAATCAAAGCACACAGTTTTTCACCTATGTTCTCATGTTTTCTTAACTTCTAGTTATCTTTGGTTATTTGTCTTTTAGTTTTTCTTGGGGTATTTGGAGTAAAGAGTTCAAGTCCAACAACTAAGTCGAGATACAGCCGAATCCTCGTAGATAAACAGGATCCAGCTACATATGTCGATTCACATGCATCTTTTTATATTCGTCCTCGGTGAATCTTTAGATCAATGGTTACTTTATTACTAATTGTCCATTAGCACCTCTTATTTTAGCATAATTAAATCAAACACCATTATCTTTCTAATATCACTACCCTAGTTTTTATTATAATCTCCACTGAGACCTTAAAGCTGAAACAACGTTTTCAATCGAGGGACTGAGTAGAGATTTAATAAAATCGATTGAGACTGAACCACCAAAATGAATATAGAATTTAGTTTGGCTTTATTTTCTCACATATCCAATAACAAACATCAACCAATATCAAATTTAAAAATCTAACTAAAATAATTTTAAAATCGACAATCTGATATTTAAAGAAAGTTAAAAGTATGAACACAATTTTTAAACCAAAAAAAATAAAGAGTATGAACTCAATTTCTTATAAGAAAAATCCAAATCTATCTTTAAATATTGACCAAAATGTTTGTTTTCACACTTGTATGTTTGTTTTGAGTAGGAGTTCTTTCTTGTTATCTTTCTGGTCTTTGTCACTTCCGTAATAGCGAATAAAAAGACAAATAAGTCCACTAAAATTTTGGTGGATGATCTACACGTCCTTCGATATTGATCTATTTATACTTTGGAGTCAAAACAAGATAATATCAAAATCTGATAGAGCTGAGAGCACTTATTTTCTATGTTTAGTATTAAGTATATCCCTCGTAGTGGTAATACCTCCGCCGATTATTTTGCAAAATGTGCAAGAATTCGCGGGTTTTGCTTTTCCCATGTAAGTTCGACGGTACCCGATTGGTTCTCTCTAAAAGAGAGTTCTTATCTGTGAATTAATATATAGAGTTTGATCGTAAAAAAAAAAAAGAGCTGAGAGCACAATAAAGCCTTGCGGCTCTAACTGAAATATACAAAAACTTAAAGGGTTAACTTGCAAACTTCGGAGAGAGAAGTGAGCAACGCTCCTTTCTATTTCTTTGGATATATAAAGGTGGACCAGAGCTCTAAAACTTTGTATAAGCTCATGCTCATTATTACTCTGAGAAGTGCCGTGTAATTCCTCGGCCACTCCTTTCTCTCTTTACTCGTTCAGAAAAATATCTTCTTGGCTCTCGCCGCTGATTCAGCTGCCGCCGACAAAGGTTTCTCCTTTTCTCCTAAGTCTTTTTTGAGTTTTCCTTTCATTACAGCCATAACCTCATCTGGTCACACATAATGACATAAAACTATAATTTTTCAGAGCATGAAAATTTCGTACTTGCTTCATCTGCTTATTCCGGTCTAAGCATGATCTACTAGTTAATTTCTTTCACTTATCGACCAAATCTAGTAATCGTTGCCGTCGAATTATAAAACAAATGTTTAAGGGTTTTCTCATAACCTCCTACCTACCTAAAGTATTGACCTATATATAAACTGGGGATCTGTAGGTGTGTGTTTGGTTGTTCCATATTTGTTGAAAAACCTAACCTTTTTTTAGGAATATGGAAGAAAAAGATGTGTATACGCAAGATGGAACGGTCGATATTCACAAAAATCCTGCAAACAAGGAGAAAACTGGAAATTGGAAAGCTTGCCGCTTCATTCTCGGTAACGTTCTAATCGTTTCACCAACCTTTTTCTTCATTATTGCCTTATAGGACCTGGACCAGCTGATGTAATAATGGCCTCGTGTCCCCTGTTTTATTAGGTCCACTAAAAAAATATTTACATGTAAATCATAAAAGTAATGATTGAAAAGGGATTTTATATACAATAAAAAAAGGAAATTGAAAGAAAGAGAAAAATAAAATTTAAAATGTATTATGGGAAATGTTAAGTTTTGTTGGGTGATGATCATCACTAAGAAAAAAGAGTTGAAACCCTAAAATATGCTCTGTTTTCTTCAAAATTTGTCTAAATGAAGGCTCATTTTTTATTTTATTTTTTAGCTTGGGTCTGATATAGAAGACTGATTAATATTTGTGTTTGTTAAACACTTGTGTAGGCAATGAGTGCTGTGAGAGATTGGCTTACTATGGCATGGGCACTAACCTTGTGAATTACCTTGAGAGTCGTTTGAATCAAGGCAATGCTACAGCTGCAAATAACGTCACGAATTGGTCTGGAACATGTTATATAACTCCTTTGATTGGAGCCTTTATAGCTGATGCTTACCTTGGACGATATTGGACTATTGCAACCTTTGTTTTCATCTATGTCTCCGTGAGTTTTACTTGCTCTGTTTTATCTTTTGGTTAAAATGTGAATCTTTTGGTGAAACTAATAAGTATGTTTTTCTCTTGAAGGGTATGACTCTTTTGACATTATCAGCTTCAGTTCCTGGACTTAAACCAGGTAACTGCAATGCGGATACTTGTCATCCGAATTCGGGTCAGACGGCTGTTTTCTTTGTTGCCCTTTATATGATTGCGCTTGGTACTGGCGGTATAAAGCCGTGTGTTTCGTCCTTTGGAGCGGATCAGTTTGATGAGAATGATGAGGCTGAGAAGATCAAGAAAAGTTCTTTCTTCAACTGGTTTTACTTCTCCATTAATGTTGGAGCTCTCATTGCTGCAACTGTTCTTGTCTGGATACAAATGAACGTTGGTTGGGGGTGGGGTTTCGGTGTTCCAACAGTCGCGATGGTTATCGCGGTTTGCTTTTTCTTCTTGGGAAGCCGTTTTTACAGGCTTCAGAGACCTGGAGGGAGTCCGCTTACTCGGATCTTTCAGGTCATAGTTGCGGCTTTTCGGAAGATGCGTGTTAAGGTTCCAGAGGACAAGTCTCTGCTCTTTGAAACCGCAGATGATGAGAGTAACATCAAAGGTAGCCGGAAACTCGTGCACACAGATAACTTAAAGTAAGAAACAAAAGTTCCATCTTAATCCCAACTTAACAATAAAAAGTTTGGATATCTTTGAGTCTGTTTTCTAATTAAAGTTTTGAATATCTCAGGTTTTTCGACAAGGCAGCGGTTGAGATTCAATCCGATAGCATCAAAGACGGGGAAGTGAATCCGTGGAGACTATGTTCTGTTACTCAAGTTGAAGAACTTAAGTCCATAATCTCACTTCTTCCAGTTTGGGCCACTGGAATAGTCTTCGCCACAGTGTACAGCCAAATGAACACAATGTTTGTCTTACAAGGAAACACAATGGACCAACACATGGGGAAAAACTTTGAAATCCCATCAGCTTCACTTTCACTTTTCGACACGGTAAGTGTACTCTTCTGGACTCCCGTCTATGATCAGTTCATTATCCCGTTGGCAAGAAAGTTCACACGCAATGAACGAGGCTTCACTCAGCTTCAACGTATGGGTATAGGTCTTGTGGTCTCCATCTTTGCCATGATCACTGCAGGAGTCTTAGAGGTTGTCAGGCTTGATTATGTCAAAAGTCACAATGCATATGACCAAAAACAGATCCCAATGTCGATATTTTGGCAAATCCCGCAGTATTTACTTATTGGTTGTGCAGAAGTTTTCACCTTTATAGGTCAGCTTGAGTTTTTCTATGATCAGGCTCCTGATGCCATGAGAAGTCTCTGCTCTGCTTTGTCATTGACCACGGTTGCGTTGGGGAACTACTTAAGCACAGTTCTTGTGACGGTTGTGATGAAAATAACGAAGAAGAACGGTAAACCGGGTTGGATACCGGATAACTTGAACAGAGGCCATCTTGATTACTTTTTCTACTTGTTGGAAACTCTCAGTTTCCTCAACTTCTTAGTGTACCTTTGGATTTCAAAACGCTACAAATACAAGAAAGCTGTGGGTCGAGCACATTGATGAAGAAACTGGTGTCAAAGAGATTTGGAGTTAAAAATGCTTGTTTAGCTTTGGTTTGATAAGTGTTTTGCTTGTAAATGTTTATATATGTGGTCTAGTTGTTGTTGGTGATTTAGGTTTGTTTTGGTTTTGCTTATGTATTTCTGAATACTTCCACTTATATGTGAAATGCTTACTTGATTAAGAAAAAGACTGGGACTTATTCCGATGAACTTGATACAATATCTAAGAAAAAAAATAATGCCTAAGATTCAGATTTTTGATGCATAGAAACGGATGTTTGTTTATAATATTAATATTCTTAAACAAAAATTAGAAAATTATTTCTATAGAAATCTGTTAACGCTTTCAGTGCGATTTAAAAATATTTCTATATTCTTAATTAACCCTGAGGTATACTCTGCCTGAGCTAATTACCTCTAAGGATTCCAATACAATCGAGTACGTTACTGTGAAGTTTCAGAGCTTAGGTTATATGGTTGTACTTTACGGAAGTCTAAGTGGGTCTAGTCCACGCAGGGTTCTTCTTGATAAGCGTGGGTTTGTGCCCGTTATCGATACTTTGAAGTCTGACAAAGAAGGCTCTTCGAGTATCTACCGTGAGGTGTTCAAGTACTGGAGAACGGTAAAATATGATCTTGTTATCCCGTTGTTGATTGGTATTACCAATAAAACTCCATGTTTGATGTGCCTACCAACAGAGATAAAGATGAAGATGATAGAGTTGCTTCCTGGAGCGAGTGTTGCAAAGATGGCTTGCCTTTGTACAGAATTGCGGTCTCTGTCGCTAGATGATGACTTGTGGAAAAGAAAATGGTTGAAAGAAGCTAAGAATGTTGTTGTGATCACTCGATTCGGTGTTCCAGTTAATTTGGAAGGAAAATTTTGCTGCTTTTTGGAGGAAACACCAACGAGAAAGGTTAAGGAGCATTAGATGGGAACATATATTTAGTATCAGATGGAATCATATAGGAAGCAACTAGCAAACATGTTGAGTGGTCAAATCGAAACAGTTAATCTTATATTAGTAGGAGAAAGTAGGTGTATATGACAAATAAACCGCTTGGATGCTAAACATGTTTGATCTTTAAATATTTATCTCGTTTTGGATGATGTTTCTCTTTTCCTGGTTATTGTTCTTGCCATGATTATGCTATTGGTAACTCTTTTATGAGCTTTTTGACCAAACCTGATAATATGGCGTCCTATTGTCTATAGCTACTTACTAGACTTCAAACAAAAGAGATGAAGAAATGTCTACATTTTCTTGTGTTTTTGAAGATTTCTTTACTTTTGACTATATATCTGAACCGTCGGGGAAATGCTCAAGATCAGGATGCTTAAAGATGCCTATCATCAAGATTGAGACAAACAAGCGTCAAAAACAGATTTTGATTGTGGGCTTTATTTGTGCAGTAAAATACATGGGTCAGAAACAACTTAGAGCTCTTTATTGTGTTCATTTTACGATTGCTGTGGTGCGATGAAGCCAGGTTGGTCACCAAATGGGCGGAAATAGCCAGCAGCATCTGGATCTGAAACCAAACATAATCATTTCACAAAGCATAATCAAGAAAGGTGTTATCGATATCTTGTTATAAGAAAACTGCCATGAGTCAATGAACTCTATCTTTTACTCTGGCATTGCAATTATATACGGCTAAGAAAAATTAAAGAAGCAAAAATTTGTAGAAATTTTGGACCATAAGATTTTAGCACAGAGAGGTAGAACCGTAGAAGTAGCCGATGTATTACCTTGATGGGTGAATCTGAGGGAGTAACGGATCAGAGTAATGTCTAGGCTCTTCATCTGTCCGAGAGCAGCAAGCAACCAATGAACTAGGAAACATATATCATTCTGGTCCAACTAACAAATGCCTCTCCGCAAAATGAGAAGTGCAAGTGCAAAGGCAAAACCATGTTCATGAAAATAGAGACACAAACTTAGCTTGAATAGGGGCATTACCTGGAAGAAACAGGTTTTAGTCCTTAGTCAAGCTTATACAGAATCTCATCCTTTAAATCAGTCACTAACTTGTCTAAATTCCTGAACTTTTCACGGACATTGCTGCTCTCAGTAGTATAATTCATAACTCTGTAACAAAAAACAGAACCTCTCTTTTCACAAAAATAAATCACCAGATACTAAAGGGAAACCACGACATACTTTATCTCAATATGGGGAACATCATCTCCACCAACAGCTAGGGCATCAACAAGAAGATAATCATCCATCGCCAAACACTTAACCAGAAATTTCTTCGATCTCTTCTTATTCACATACATAAACGCGTAATCCTTATCGAATTTGTTCCAACCGTCAAACCCAACCATATTTAACAAAATGAGTCAGAATCCTAAACCCTACACAAAACACTAAATCAACAAGCCAAAAAAAAAGAAACCAATACTAACCCTGAGACGAAGACGACTGAGCGTCGAGGGCAAAGGCAGGCCGCCCTGTGGCAATGAGGCCGAAACCGGAAATGATGAAAGAAGCGTGAACAGCGAAAACGAGCTTGTCGTGGTTATTACGAAAAGCAGGCATAACCAACCTGACCATACCCATCACAGTCTCAGAAGTCGCCATCAAAGACTTCACAGAATTGTCGCAGGTTTCCCTTTAGCAAAAATCTTGGGAAGCAAGAAACCTAAATTGGCCTGTCAATATTAGATATTGGGCCTATCTTGAACAGTGTCGGGCTCGTCTGCAAAATAAGAAAAAAAGGCCTAAAATCTAAAATTAAAAAAGTCGGTTAATATTAATTACACGTGGCATCCTTTTATTGCATATTTACTTTTCGGTCCCTTTAATTTTTCTTATTTAAATAATCTGTTAACTTGCGATCTCTGATTGCTTCTTCTTCTTCTTCTTCGCTTCACAATCTCTTGAGACTTTCGCATCGGAGCAATATATATTCATTCACGGAATCAGTGAATTTTAGGGTTTTGTTATCAAATCTTGATCGGCGATGGAACGAACAAGCAACGGAGGAATGTTGTATCACGAGGTTCAAGAGTCAAATCTGTGCGCCGTACACTGCGTCAACACGGTGTTGCAAGGACCTTTCTTCTCTGAATTCGATTTAGCTGCCGTCGCCGCCGATCTTGACGGGAAGGAGCGTCAGGTTATGCTTGAAGGAGCTGCCGTTGGAGGGTTTGCGCCCGGCGATTTCTTAGCTGAAGAGTCGCACAATGTTTCTCTTGGCGGCGATTTCAGTATCCAGGTACGAATCGCGATATCCTGATTTCGTGTTTTTAGGATATGCAATTGAAGATTCTTGAGTTGCATTCAACATTTCGATTGTGTAAAGCCTTTTTGTTTTTGGAAGTTTAGGCAAAATTAGGGTTTCGAATTTATGGTTCTTTTAGTTGCTGGGTTTAGGCTGAAGTGATAAACTTTTGAATGGTTATTTACGTTTTTTGAAGAGTAAGGTACAATTAGATCGATTCAAGAAGAATTGAGATCAGTAATGGTGTGAATTTTGCAGCCTTTACTCTGGGTTAAAACTCATTTGTTGTTGAAGCCTAGCTTCATTGTGCGAACATTGTTATGCTGATAAATAGAGTAATTTGAGAGAACTTCTCTTATCTAGGGACTCATGGTTTTCGATATCTAGCTATTAGTGAGGTTCTGTATCTTCAGTTATCATCTTTTGTTTCTTGGATAGCTTTAAACCGAGTTGGTTGATAAATTGATATTTGATAAGGTTGCTACACAAGTCAGTTTTGATTGCAAGTTTTATGTATTGAGATTCAAAGGTATAGAAAAAGCAACACACTTATTGCACTGAATAGTGATTTACATTACATTTTTAGACATCTAAAATTAAAGCTATTTTAACGGATTATGTTGAAGTTGGATGCGGATAAAACATTGCAAACAGAGGGGTTTATGCGACCGGTGTAGCATTTTAATCTTTCAAAGTTGATCTAGGCTTGCATATTGTTTTCCCTAAGAAAGCTTTTGTGTGATTGACAGGTCTTGCAAAAAGCTTTGGAAGTGTGGGATCTACAAGTGATTCCACTCAATTGTCCAGACGCAGAGCCTGCGCAGATAGACCCTGAGCTTGAAAGCGCCTTCATCTGCCACTTGCATGACCATTGGTTTTGCATAAGGAAAGTGAATGGTGAATGGTATAACTTTGACAGTCTCCTTGCTGCCCCGCAACATTTATCGAAGTTCTACCTTTCTGCGTTCCTAGACTCTCTCAAAGGTTCAGGATGGAGTATCTTCATAGTGAAAGGAAACTTCCCACAGGAGTGTCCCATGTCGTCTTCATCTGAAGCTTCCAATAGTTTCGGACAGTGGCTTTCTCCTGAAGACGCAGAGAGAATAATAAAGAGCACGAGCTCCTCAGTACGAGGTTCTTCTGCTAGAAACAACAGAAGTAATGACAATGTTGATCAACAAAGACCAAATCAAGCATTGTCACGTGAGGAAGTGCAGGCTTTTTCGGAGATGGAAGATGATGACTTGAAGGCAGCAATTGCGGCGAGTTTGCTTGATGCTTCTGCGGCTGGGGCCAATCTCGGCGATATGGGGACTTCTCAAAAGGAAACTGAGAAAGAAAAGTAGCAGAGAAAATAGAGAACACGTGTTATTGATGGAGGTGGGAAATATTCACTTTTGTTTCTTTGTTTTGGTTTGTTATCAACAATTTTACATACAGAACAGAGAAAAGAAAGAAAAGGCTTACATCGAAAGATAGAGAAAACAGAGAATAATAAACGGTTTGTGAATTGTTTTTGTTTGATTTCTTTTGCCATCTTAAATTGAGAATAAAGATTCGACCTTCTCGAATTTATAGGAAATTACATCTGAAAAGGAAAATGCAGTCTGATAAAGATACATAAATTTAAACACTTTTCTTCATTTTTTGCATTATACAGTTTATTTTCCAACATTCTCTATGTAATAAATTACTTCAGTTGACTAAATAAATGAATTTACCAAATTAATTGTGATCTATGCAAATACAAAGGGATGGTGTAAAATTTGATTCAGCTAGAGTCCAATCTGGCGAACTTTTACAGTTTGAAAAACCAGAAGGATAACACTTTTAGGCTGGAAATAAAAACATCGAGAGGCCAACAAACACCTTCTTTTTCCCTTAACAGAGAATAGCCTTTAAATTATTAATTAATTATTTATGTATTCAAAGTTGATGGCTTTGATCATGATGGTGATGACCCAACTTTAGTCTCTTCACCCTTTTTTTGTTTTTTACTTTCTCTTCTTCTGATACATCAGGTTCCTTCGATTTGAGCCTTTAGGATTTCCTTGCTCATGATGATCTGTTTCTCTGACATTCAGAGAAAAAACACAAATATCTGGGTAACTTTTGGGATCTGAGGAAATCGGAATCCAAGTTTGCTGATCTTTCTTCTCAAATGGGTTCTTCTTCGGACAAGTTGTTCAACAGAGAGAGGACATTACATGAGATTCTGGGAGGAGGCATTGGTAAGTGAATCCATATAAATACCAAATCCAAGACTTATAAAAGCTAAGTGATCTCTCTCACCTATATAACCTGTTTTTCTTGTTATGAAATGAATCTGCAGTTGCAGATGTGATGTTGTGGAGGAAGAAGAATGTGAGTGTTGGTATAGTTACAGTGACAATAGCTTCATGGATGGTGTTTGAGGCATTTGCTTACACTATCTTTACTCTTATTTCGAGTGTTCTTCTTCTCTTGCTTTCTATTCTCTTCCTCTGGTCCAAATCTGCTTCCATTCTCAACAGGTAAATTAGTATTTACTTGTAACTAATATTACTACATTTCTAACTCATTTTCCCTGGCTCTCCAGGCCATCACCGCCATTACCGGAGTTTCAAATAAGTGAAGCGATGGCGGAAGAAGCTTCGATATGTTTACGCCTCCATGTGAACAAACTACTCCAAGTTTCGCATGACATTGCAATGGGAAGAGACTCAGAGTTGTATACCAAAGTAGCAGTCTCTCTGTTTCTCATCTCATTAATCGGAAGCCTCATGGATTTTCAGACACTTTGCCACACCAGTAAGTAAATATTGGAAAACTCTTCTTGGAATGGTTTGAGCTTCGTTTTGAGGTGGTTCTTGGTTATTTTGGCAGGCGTTTTGGTGGTTATGACGGTTCCAGCTGTCTATGAGAGATACGAAGATCACATTGATGGATCTATACTGTTTATCTGCAACAAAGCTAAAGAGCTTTACCTTAGAGTCGAGGTATTGGCTTTTCCAGAAAATAAGAAACTGAGCTGAGATGCTATCACCTCTTTCTTCTTCAAGAGTTTCTTCTTCTGTCTTTTCTGATTTCTCAGTTTTGCGGAAAGAAAGGGAGAAAATGTATGATTTTTGATAAATGTTGGAATGGTACAGCCAAAATATGAGCAATCCAAAGAAATTTTATTTCACAGTTTTACTCGAAAACTGACTCTCTATTCTAAAAATAATATTCGACCAAGTCGTGGCCTCTCTCAATCACCGAAAATTGTGAAGAAAACAATGTTGCTCTTATTCCCTCTGCTTACAACTCTGTATCTCAGTTTCTTTTGGACGCATCGAGTTCCCGGACATACTTCTTTGCCTGGATTAGAGTATTAAGAACCAGGATTAGAAAATGAGACAGAACACTTTGCGTGACTGATTCGAATTTGATACAATAAAACTTATCAATTGTTACCTGTTCAAGGGTCAAAAACATGATGACGTTCCATGAGCCAAGGCGTCCAAAGTTGGGGATGAACCCTTTGTAAAATGCCATGGGACCCTGTAGAGGAAACCGTAAAGAGTTTATTAACATATTCTGGGGTTATCTTTAGAACAAGACCTCCAGAGAGGAATCAGAAGCAGAGTTGCTTACGTCGCTCTTCAGAGTTTTGACGAAGCAGTCAATGGTGCCCTTGTAAGCACCAGAATCTCCCATCATTCTTGACTTGACCTGCCATACAACAAGATTCAAGAAGAGAATCAGGAAACGTAGTGAACAAACTCAAGGTTCAAAGTCATGTGTAAATACTGTACCACGTCAACAGGAGAGCCAATGCAGACAGCAAAGAATCCTGCCCCCAGTCCAGATAGAATATGTGTGACAACGTTGTCAGTGAAACCCGGAATCTTCAAGATTGTCTGTACGCAAAAAAAAAAAGGAATGTCAGTTGCTTCAAATATCAGGATCTTTTAGTTAGGCAAGAGAGACACAGAATAAATTTATTTCATACCTCTTTCACTTGATCGTAACTTGCTAATTCAGCAGCATTGATAATAGCGTTTCTTGCTACGTTAGGTCCAAGACCAGTCCAAAGAGCTCGGACTCCTTCCTGTCAGAGCCAGATTAATAAGATATGAAGCAGAGTTGAAGCAAATTATGCACAATCTCAACTTCCAAGTCGGGACAACTACCTGTCTCACAATTGTTGAATACGCATTCAGCGCTCCAGAATACCGTCTTGGCGCACCTGCAGCTAGTTTTCCTTCCGCCTGAAGCCTAACTTTCACAAGATCAGTGGGATTTGCTACCATGATACCCAGTGCACCTAAGAGTTAGAAAACAACAACCCAACTAAGTGATTCAGAGGAAACAAATGTTACGGGTTTCTTCTAAGCCGGTCTACCGTTATGCTCACCTGTTGTCAAACCAGCAAGAATTTTCTTGCTCAATGGAACATCACCTACAAAGTCTTTTCCAACATACAAGTTTTTCACCTGAGGAGAATAAATTGGTTAAGGCTTTAAGTAGTAACTACGAAAACACTGAGTTTAAGCAGTTTTCTGGAGCATGAAAGAAGTAGATTTTGTAACCCACCGGCTCATACATTCCAATTCTAAGACCTCCAAAAAGGCATTGACGATGCAATCCAGGTACAACACCTTTCCATAGTGAACGTAACCCTTCTTCCCTTGCTATGGTACCAACAGTTCCCAATAATCCTCGATATTTAGGCAGAGTAACATCTCCAGCAAGAGCAGACTTTTGGAGTTGAAGCCTAACTTTAGCAGTGTCCAATGGAATAGTGCAAACCTGGTCCAGAGAGTTTAATTGCATAAGAATTTTCAAAAGCGACTGTGCAACACAGAATTTTCTGAGGAAACAACACCGCCAAAAAGAAGATACAGTTTGTTCTGAGGATAATTAAACATTTTCAAGTCTCATAATCTTTTCAATGATTCGCAAAATCATTATCCAAAGCATAAATCAACAACGTCAAAACACTGCCATACAAATGCCAAAAACTCAATTTTTAGCCACAGATCTGAACGATTATTCCAAGATCAAATCATTTCTATCGTAATTACGTAATCAGGAATTCAGGATAAATAGTATAGAAGCTAAAATCCAGATTCTCTAGCTAATACGATGATACAAGACAAGAAAGATAAAGATCAACCTGATAGAAACTTCACAAATCTCAACGAAATTCGAAATACATTTCCGCGTATAGCTAAACAACACTAGATCGCGACACACATTTCTCGAACGAATAAATACTTTACCGGTACAAAAAATAGAGTTAAGAGAGATGAAAAAATTAAGGAATCCGGCGATTACCTCGCCGACGCAAGCAGCGAAAGCACTGCAGGCGAAAGTTTTGGGCAAGGAAAGGTCGGATTTACCAGCAGCTACCATCTTCGATCCAGAAAACGCGAAGCAGAGAGAGGAGGTTAGGGTTTCGAAATCGAAGAACAGAGAAGATAGATTCTTGGGAAGAGGAACGACGACGATGACGATTACGGCTACGCAACTTGGCCTCGAGAGCTTCAGTTAGAAAAGATCGTCCCTCTCTCTCTCTCTCTCTGCTACGAAATGAAAAAGAAGTGGGCGCTTTACTTATTTATACACACGTGTGTAACTGTGTTTTGATAATATCATCCATCCATTTATGATGCTTTTCACTGTGTGCACATAATTCCAAAAGTCAAATCAATGACACTGCACCACGCTGGATCGAATTTAATTTGTTATAAATAAATATACTGTAAAATTTAGAATTTAATATATCTCTAATTTTAAAACTTATAATCCGAATTCTGATATTATAATCCGAATTTTTTAGTTTTATACAAAGAAGAGATACGGAAAACTCAAATCTATACAACATACAACAATATAAAATAATGCCACGAATGTAAAAAATTCAAAGAAAGGAGCATGCTTTGAATTGGATAGTTGTTAAAGGGTTTATAATCCAACGGAGTATAAAACAAGAAGTTTTGTATATTTGGTAGAAAGTTGATTTGATCTTTGATGACTTTGTAGCAGTGGCAATGACTGCGCCATCTTCTACTTCACATCTTCATCACAATGTAGAGTGCCTATCGATGATAAAGTTTAACCATCATCAACTTAATTAACATATGAATATTCATACTTAATATCTCTTAGAACAGTCAAAATGACACGCTAATCACTCTTTTGCCTTTTTTTTTTTTTTTTTTTGCCTATATTTGTTAGCCTCAACGAAATGACAAAATATACTACACCACTACCATCCAAAAAACTAGTCATATAAAAAAATATGTGCTACAAACGTGACCAACTCTTGAAATTATCCATCCATACCATACATAAATAATGCAAAACCTAAAAAAAAAAATTGATTAGAACAGTCACATAAATAAATATAGACACACTGGCGAATATAAAATCTGAAAACAAAAAACTCAGCTTCGGCGAATTTCACGGTGACGGTGGCTATTACCAGAAGACAAACCAGAACATGGTCAACTACTACCCCAACACCTAAAATTCAACCCTCTCTCTTCTTTCTCTATCTTTCCTTTTTTCTGATCTTCAATTCCCTTTTTCACCGGCGACGATATGTCAGTCGCCGGAGCGATTAACCCTGTACCAATTGCACCCACCACTCGCCGCCGTGTCGGTGATTCTCTAGACGTAATCTCCGAACGACCCTCGAATTCATCTGACTACAGCAATACAGTTAATCAACCCATCGTTGGATCAACAGATTTAGACGGTGGAGATGCAAGCGGCCAAGACTCGTCCCCATCTTCGGAAAGCTCTGCTTCTTCTACTGGATCTCATTACCATCACGATCATTACCACCGATTTTACAATCATCCGGCGATTCGTTACCTTCTTCTCCGAAAATTCTGGATTCCGTTTGGTGGTGGATCGACGGTTGTGATTGGTCAAGGGTTTAGATCGGGGAGAAACGTGGGTCGTCGGATCTTGGGTCTTCTAATGGTGCTTGTGGTTGCGTCTGTGTTTCTTAGGGTCTACCTTATGGGTGGTGTGCGTGTGGTTGATCACGCTCGTTTGAAGGAGTTTGTTGTTGTTAGAACGCTTCGTGATGATTGGTCAATGGCTCAACGTGAAGTTGCAGAGAACCAAGCTTCTTCTCAGCCAATGCGTGTTCTCGAAAAACTTCCCGTGAGTTTTTTTCTCTTTACTCTAAACACTTAGGGATTTAAAAATTCAATCTTTGTGATCAAATTCTGCATTTTTTTACTTAGTTAAATACTAATTGGGATCAATCCTCTTTTATGTGTTTGGTCCTGCTGAATTGTTTGATGGTTTTGTTGAACAGTTCTCTAGGAATTATCTATTATGGCGAAGTTAGTGTAAACAGATTGCAATGTTTGGATTAGTGTCTCCTTTTTGGGACGAAGGAGAATCAGTAGTGGGGTAGGTAATAAGATGAATTCTGAGAACAACTTCAATGATTGCAAAACTGAATTATCATTGTGCAAATATAATAGCCTTTTTACCAATCAATATCTCGGTGGCGATTTTTATGAGCTTTACTTTTTGCTATTGGATTGAGACTTTGACGAGCAATATAGTCAATGGATTTATAGGCGGCTTTGATGTGTGGATCATACCTTCCTACAATTTTAGTTGACTTAGAATCCATAACATTCTGTGTCATAGTTTGAGAAGACTTGAAATGGAAACTCTTTATAATCTTCTAGCTCTGCAATATTTAATCTTGAAGTTCCATTACAGTCCAAGTTGATATTGGTTTGATTAAGAGTTCATTACCGTTCCGTGTGTGGTTTTAATCTATGTTAGTGTCTAATCTGTTTTGTTGAGTTAATTGTAACTTGACTTAAATTCGTCAAGTAACAGATTTAAAGTACGAGAAGTTCTCTGTGATCAGTGTAATCGTCTTACTGGTTTTGATAATTAACTAAATTGTTTATCATTTCCTCTGTTTTTGCAATGTAAGGAAAATAGTTTCTTTCTGTTTGACTTCATTTTCCGGGATCTTGGTCATGGATTATATGTTTTTGTTGTCTCCTTTATACAGATTCCGGAAATTTGGCAGAAACCTGAAAGCGGGAATTACCGCCAATGTGTGGCACGTCCCAAGAACTACACAAGTATGTTGCTATCTTGAAATTCCTAGTTCTTCTTCAAGCTCGTTTGCAGTTCTGAATTTTCAATATCTGGTATATGTCTTTCTCTAGGACTGTACCGCCAAACCAATGGGTATCTTTTAGTACACGCAAATGGAGGATTGAATCAGATGAGAACTGGGGTGAGTTTACGTCCAAAGTATATTAGGAGGTATTGATCTCCGTTTTCTACTTTTCTCTATTGTCAACTGTTTTGACTTACCATTCTTTATTGGTTTTGATCAATATGCAGATATGTGACATGGTCGCTGTTGCCAAAATTATGAATGCAACTCTTGTTCTTCCTCTGCTTGACCATGAATCTTTCTGGACTGACCCGAGGTCTTGTCTTTATATCTTGGCACTCTTATTGACCTGATATCACAAGATATTTACTAGGAAAGAAGTGGAATGCCAATATATCTTGTTTTGAATGCAGCACGTTCAAAGATATTTTTGACTGGAGAAACTTCATGAACGTATTGAAACACGATGTTGACATTGTCGAGTACCTGCCTCCTCAGTATGCCGCAATGAAACCTCTTCTCAAGGCCCCTGTTTCTTGGTCCAAGGTCCGTGCTTTATTCATATTACTGTGGGTTTCATGGTTAGCTTTCAGATTTTTATCTCTTCTCCTATATGGATGTAAGGGCTTTTCACCATGAGAAGTAAATTCTTAAATTCACAACTGATATACAGGCTAGTTACTACAGAAGCGAAATGTTGCCATTGTTGAAACGTCACAAGGTGTTAAAGTTCATGCTTACTGACTCACGGCTTGCTAACAATGGCTTGCCACCATCGATCCAACGACTGAGATGTCGTGCTAATTACCAGGCACTGCTATACACAAAGGAGATTGAGGACCTAGGGAAGATTTTGGTTAACCGGTTAAGAAACAATAGTGAGCCTTATATTGCTCTGCATTTGAGGTAAATCCGACATTTCTTTGATCATCAATAAGGGCAATAATTTTAATCTTGGTTTCGTATCAAATGGATTTTGGATTTGCAGATATGAGAAGGACATGCTTGCCTTTACAGGATGCAACCACAATCTTACAACTGAAGATGCTGAAGAGCTGAGAATCATGAGGTACAGTGTCAAACATTGGAAGGAGAAAGAGATTGATAGCCGAGAGAGACGGATTCAAGGCGGATGTCCAATGTCTCCGAGAGAAGCAGCTATATTTCTAAAGGCCATGGGATATCCGTCCTCCACGACTGTATATATAGTTGCTGGTGAAATCTATGGAAGCAAGAGTATGGATGCTTTCCGTGCAGAGTACCCAAATGTCTTCTCTCATTCAACTCTTGCGACTGAAGAAGAGTTAGAGCCTTTCAGTCAATACCAGAACCGCCTTGCTGCGTTGGACTACATTGTGGCCCTTGAAAGTGATGTTTTTGTGTATACATATGATGGTAATATGGCTAAGGCGGTACAAGGGCACAGAAGGTTCGAAGGGTTTAGGAAGTCCATAAATCCAGACAGGTATGGTAACATAAAATAAAACTTTTCATTTTGGCGAGATTATGTAGTTTCTTTCACTGGTTTTTTGCTGACTTGTTTAGTGTGATTATTTCAGGCTGAATTTTGTTCGACTGATAGATCATTTTGATGAGGGTATCATATCTTGGGAAGAGTTTTCTTCTGAGGTTAAGAGATTAAATAGAGACAGGATTGGAGCGGCATATGCGAGACTGCCTGCTGCACTTCCCAGAGTAGAGGAGAATTTCTATGCGAACCCACAACCCGATTGCATCTGTAACAAGTCTCATCCTGAGCAGCTCAGGAAACAATCAAGTCTAAGAACAGACTCAAAGAGCTGGAAGAAGAGTGCCTTAAGATAGCAGTGATACAGTAATCGAAAAGAGCGAGACTGTGCATCAGGACATAGAACAATCTGCTTCGAGTTTATAGTATTTGTACACTATAGGAAACAGAGGTAACCTGAGTTTTTGGAAGATTCAGACAGCTTGTAGGATCGATTCACCATACAGGAGCGTCATGACTTGGGTCAGCTAGAGCAAGTTTGTGACCTTGCACGAGAAGCTGTGTTGAACAAAAGAGAGATATCATGGGAAACAGTTTTCCTCATTCTTTCACATCGTTGTTATCAGTGAGCTCAAAAATTGATTGTACATTGGATAACAAATTTGAATCATTATACGTCTCACACACGGTTCAGAACTTTTTGTAAAAGCTGAGTTCTTGATATTTTTATTCTACCACATTGATGGAACATAAAACCTGCTCTTTCAATTCTGTGTCGCAGCTTTCAGTAGGGAAACCTCTGACTGCACCAGTTGTCCACTGCAATACGATCCCAGCAGCAACTGCAAACCCGAGCTGTCGTTCCAAGACATCTTGGTACTGAAACATCTCAGGACAAGTCGTTAGCTTTCTCATTATGCCTGCAACAACAGCATCACCAGAACCTGTCCTAGGTGAAAGGAGTTATAAGCGCATCTTTGTTCCAACCACAACTCCATCAGTAGGAGTATAGTAATGATGCTGAAGTGTTCCATCAGTCACAACCAATAGCTCAGTCATTAATGATGATTTTATAACTTCTCCTTACTCAACAAGGAGTGATCTCAACTCCACGTATGACCATCCATGCATGTCGTAAACAAACCTATATACTCCCTCCGTTCTTTTTAGATGACGTTTGAGGCTTATATTTTTGTTCTTAGATAGATGAAATTTTCAGTTTTCAATGCAATATTAATTAGTTTTTTTATTGGTTTTGACGATTTATATTTTGAGATTGTTTTTTTATTGGTTGATTAGATAATAAATAATGTTTTATATTAGAATTAAACAAAAATTAAATAATTTTTTAATCTGTGTGCATTCTCTTAAAACATCGAATAAAAAAAAAAGAGAGTATATATTTTACTATACACTTATTTCAATGGATACATATACATATACTAGGGATAATTGTAAATATCCATATACTTTTGACAACGGACACCGAGAAAGGGATAATTTTATCAAAAATATATGGATAGAATTTTTTATTTTTTTTGTCATATGGATAGAATTATTGCTAAAAGTTTTTTATTGTTTCACAGTATTGGTAATAAATGATGTTGACGTTTAGAAAAAATTCTTAAATACAATATAAATTATAGTTTTGTGGGCAAGCTAAATGTGAAAAAAACAACACAACATAACAACATCAAATTGATAGTTAAATCGAAAAAATAAATTTGAATACGTTGGTTTAATGTTATAACCTGATCTCATCGTCATTGTCATATGGCTATTCCATTAATTTTTCTTTGCTCAAATGAAAAGAAGAATCATTTGAGCAAAGAAAAATTAATGGTTGGGGGAATTTTGAAAACTCATGTGGCAGAGGAAAATGCGGCATCAGTTTTGGCGGCTACCCTTCCAGGATGGAGAATGGAAAACAACTACTGTTGTTTAGAGCTGGGAAGGATCTGGTTAGTTTGGGATCCCTCAGTCTCTGTTTTGGTTTTCAAAAAATCTGAGCAAATGATCCTTTGCAGTATAAAAGTGCCTGAAGTGGCTACTTCCTTTGTTGCTGCTTTTGTGTATGGTAAAAACACTGTTATTGAAAGAAGGTTGCTTTGGGAGGAGATTTCTTTGTTGGCTCACACATCCCCTTTGTGCGACACTCCTTGGGTGTTAATGGGTGATTTCAACCAGATAGCGGAAACCACTGAACACTTCTCTATCATCCCTTCTTCCTTCTCTTTAAGCGGGCTTGATGATTTCCAAGGTTGCCTGAGAGATAATGATTTGAATGATCTCCCTAGTAAGGGTGTTTTTTTTACTTGGTCAAATCATCAGCAAGAGAACCCTATTATCAGGAAGTTGGATAGAGCTGTGGGGAATGGAGCATGGTTCAGCTCCTTTTCAAGCGCTGTGGCTGTTTTCGATCCCCCGGGGGATTCTGATCATTCACCATGCTTCATTACTTTGGTAAATCACCCTGATCACTCTAAAAAACCTTTTAAATACTTTTCCTTTCTGGCTTCTCACCACTCCTTCCTTTCCTGTTTGACATCTGCTTGGGAGGAGGAGACCCTATGCGGTTCCAAGATGTTTATGTTAGGGGAAAGATTAAAGCATGCCAAGAAAGCTTGCAGGAAATTAAACAGACAAGGGTTTGGTAATCTCCAGCAAAGAACTCAAGATGCACTGTCTCATCTGGAAGATATTCAGAGTCAACTTCTATCCATCCCTTCTGATTCCCTTTTCAGACAGGAGCATGTTGCCAGGAAAAAGTGGAATTTCTTTGCTGATGCATTGGAATCTTTTTTCAGACAGAAATCAAGAATAAAATGGCTAAAAGATGGAGATGCAAATACCAGATTCTTTCACATGGCGGTTATTGCTCATCGAGCCAAGAACCTCATTAAATTTCTTCGCGGAGATGACGACTCCAAAGTCGACAATGTGCAGCAGATTAAGGATATGATCATCACCTACTACACTCACCTCCTGGGGACTGAATGTGAGTCAACGGTACCCTTCTCTATGGAGACTATTAAATCCATCCACCCATTTCGTTGTGATGAATCTCTGGCAGCCAAGCTTTCTGCAATCCCCACGGCTGAGGAAATTACCCATTGTGTCTTTTCTATGCCAAAACACAAAGCTCCTGGACCGGATGGCTTCCCTGCTGAATTCTTTTGGGATTCCTGGGCTGTGGTCAAGGATAGTGTTATATCTGCTGTGATGGAGTTTTTCTCTACAGGTCATCTTTTAAGAAGATTCAACTCCACGACTATTACTCTCATTCCCAAGGTGACAGGAGCTGATCGTCTGTCCCAGTTCAGACCTGTTGCTTGTTGCAACACAATATACAAGATCATTACTAGGCTCCTCTCCCAGCGCCTCAAACTCTTTGTTGATCAGGCAGTCCAGGGTAACCAAGTCGGCTTTATTAAGGGGAGGTTGCTGTGTGAGAATGTACTTCTAGCTTCTGAGTTGGTGGAAGGGTTTCATGTTGAGGGTGATATTTCCAGAGGCTGCCTCCACATTGACCTAACAAAGGCTTACGACAATGTCAACTGGGATTTTCTGATCAATATTCTAGAGGCTATGGAACTTCCCAATGTTTTCATTAATTGGATCAGAGTTTGCATTTCCACTCCTTCTTACAGCATTGCTTTTAATGGTGAGTTAATTGGGTTTTTTCAGGGTAAGAAGGGCATCAGACAGGGAGACCCTATGTCTTCCCATTTGTTTGTTCTTGTCATGGATGTCCTCGCCAAATTTCTGGACAGAGGCGCAATCAACTCCCTGTTTCAGCCTCATCCCAAATGCTTAGCCCCTGTGATTACCCATCTTAGTTTTGCAGACGACGTTTTGGTTTTCTTTGATGGGTCTGAGTCATCAATTGCTGGCATTCTAAGTATTCTTGATGATTTCAAGCGTGGGTCTGGTTTGGGTATCAACAAGAATAAAACTGCTCTTCTCCTTAATGGTGAGGATTTTGATAGATTAAAGGTGATCTCGGAGAGTTTTGGGATTTCTCATGGTTCTCTCCCGGTAAAATACTTGGGAGTTCCTTTGATGGCTCAAAAGATGAGTAGGCATGACTACCAACCACTCATAGACCGTATCAACAGCAAATTCTCATCGTGGACTGTCAGGCACCTTTCCTTTGCAGGCAGGCTGCAGCTTCTAAAATCTGTGATCTACTCCACCATTAACTTTTGGACTTCTGTCTTCCTCCTTCCCAAGCAATGTCTCTTAAAATTAGAACAAATGTGCAATGCCTTCTTGTGGAAAGGAGCCCCAAATTCTGCTAGGGGTACAAAGATTGCTTGGGATTCAGTTTGCAAGGCTAAGGAGTGTGGAGGGCTTGGTCTGAAGAGGTTAACATCTTGGAATAAAGTTTTTGCTCTTAAACTTATTTGGCTGCTTTTTACTAAAGCAGGTTCTCTTTGGGTGTCTTGGGTGAGGATAAATCTTATTGGCAATAGGAATTTTTGGACTTTGAACCCCTACTACTCGGGCAGCTGGATTTGGAAGAAATTATACAAGCTTCGCCCTGTTGCTAGGCCATTTGTGGTGTGTGAGATTGGTTCCGGGGTGAGTGCGAGCTTTTGGCAAGACAACTAGACTAGTTTGGGGCCGCTCATTGATATCACTGGCCCTGCTGGGCCTCAGGTGATCGGGCTGCCTTTAAAATCTGTAGTGAGAGATGCGCTTGGAAGTAATGGTTGGAGGATTACTACTAGTCGCAGCAGGAACCCTATCATTTCTCTCTTAAGAAGGGCCTTGCCCGAGGCTGGAAATATGTGGGATTGTGTGGATGATGATGTTTACCTGTGGAAGACTGATCATCATCCTCCTTCAAACCTTTTCTCTTCACCAAAAACGTGGCTGGCTTTAAATCCTCCTGGAAATTCGGTATCTTGGCATAAATCTGTGTGGTTCAAGGATCGCATTCCTAAGCATGCCTTCATTTCTTGGGTTGTGGCGTGGAATAGATTGCATACGAGGGATAGGCTAACGAGCTGGGGTCTTTCTATCTCTCCTATGTGTGTTCTCTGCAATTCTGGCCATGAGTCTCGAGAACACTTGTTCTTTGATTGTGTGTTCAGCCGTGAAGTGTGGATTTATTTCACCTCTAGAGCAAATCTGAATCCTCCCGCCCCTTTCATGGCTTGTCTTCTCTGGCTTAAGACTGCCTCGAGGGACTCAAATCTTTCTTTGATTATCAAACTTATTTTCCAAGCGTCTGTTTATCTCCTTTGGAAGGAGCGCAATAGCCGGATTCACTCTATTTCTAACAGACCCCCGACGTTGATCATCAAGGACATTGTGTTAACGTTGAAGGCTCGGCTGGATCCTCTTTCCCGAAATCAGAGTCACTGCGCCCCTGGATCTTCTCTCCTTTCATCTTGGTTCCGCTACTTTGGGTAAGGTCTCTCTCCCTTTGGTGGTTTTGTTTGGGCTTCCTTGGGTAGGTTTCTGGTGCTCCCCCTTCTTTTTCTCTTGGCCTGGTAGCGTTTTGCGCTGTTCTCTTTGTGGGGCATGTGTGTCTGTCTGGGCTTTTGCCGTGTATGTTGGGCTTGCGTGCCTGTTTTCGGCTTTTGCCATGTATGTTGGGCCTGCGTGCTCCTTTTTCGGGCTATTTAGCTTGTATCCGGTTCTTTTTAATGGAAATTTAAAGTAAAAAAAAAAGAATCAATTGGCTTTTATTTCTTATAATCCTACATTTTCTAAAACTGATCATGTGACTTTACTTTTTTTTTTTAATTAAAGGTGTGACTTATTTATTCAATTTATATTGTACTGGAAACATTATTGACTGCATCCGTACGAAGGATCAACCTTCTTTTAATCATCCTCTCCTTCAGAATCACGTAATTTAGGTATGTTTATTGCTTAATGTTAGTTAAGCAATAACTGAAGATGCAGGGAAGTGGCAGATATGGCACAATACCGGAATGAGTTGTCCAGAGGGGACGATTCCAATACGGAGAGTGGTTTCCCATAAGAGGAAAGCAGCGGAAAGAGTCACTGGAGGACACGATGCAAGTATCCTAAATCCTTTTATTTTTAATCCGAAATGTGAACCATATGAAATTGAACCAAAATTTATCAATCTTAGCTTCAACCGAATATTAATTTGACCCTAACGTTGCATATAATTATATAATAAGTCATTCGAACCAAACCCGATTTTGTTAGAACTAATATTACTAATTAAAAGCTATAGAAAGAAACATACTGTTCATAGCAACCGATAATTATAATTACCAAACATGGTAAAGAGGCTCGAATTAATTTGAATTAATCACAAAGTTAACCATGCCAAGTTTTATATAAAGTGCCCAAAAAACAGTGGACCTACAACTACAAGTGTCAAACATGAGGAGTATTCAAATGAACATTCAACCTAAAATTTTTTCATTATTGTTTTTATTAACACATCTATAAAATTGAAACCTAAAATTTTTTATTCTAATTATATATCTACTGGGAAAGTGGAAATATTGGAAGAATTATATTTGAAAACAATAAGGAAAACAAAAGCAAAATAAAAGCAAAATAAAAGCAAAACCATAGCAAAACATAGTGATATTTATTTTTTTCCCAAAAAAGTTTACAATAATTAGTTTAGAGATTATAATTTCTAAAACATATAAATTAGAGTAAATTTGGAAAAATACCCTCTTTTTGTTTATACTTTTGAAAAATATATTTTCTTTATTTTTCTTTAAAAATTACTTTTTAAATATGTAAAATTACTAAAATAACTTTAATGATTAATCAAAAATATCTATATTTTAAATATCAAATCAATTTATTTTTAATAGTTAAATAGTTATTTTTACAAAGTTTTTATAAAAATAAAAATTCCAAAATTTATTACCCTAAATATTTTTTTTAAACAATAATGAATAACACTATTCTACCAATATTAAGTCATGATTTTTATTGAGTCTTGTGTTGTTGTTATTCTGCAGATTTTGATAAATCATTATTATTGAAAACATAAAAAATAGTTAACTTTGCACAAAAATTCAAAGAGAATCATTGAATTCAAGCAAAGTTTTGTGATATGTTTAGTTGAAAAATGTGTTTGGAGTGTTGGGATTATTTTACTTTATATAACATGATAAATATTAAATGATATACTTTATAATACTTTTAGATATTATCTTGTTAATTTTAATTTAGAAAATTTAATAAATCATCTTTGTGTCAAAAACAAAATATATATATATATATATAACTATAATTGATATTATTTCGAATTTATTTTATTTTATTCTCTAAATTTTGATTTTAGTTTTAATTTACTAAAAATACAGCTTTAAATTTAAATTAATACAAAATTATCATTTAACATATAAACGATTGTAATTTTCATTAAAACTAGAAAAAGGTATTTTTCAAAGGATAACTCTAAAACAGAGTAGTTTTCAAAATGACTCAAATTATCTAATATAATTTTCTAGCTATTATAATGCTCTAGTCTTTTTTATATGATTTCTACTTTGAAACAGAAAAACATCTATATAGTATTATGAAACAACATATTTCATTCATCTATAAAAAAATTCCTTAAAACTAACGTCTTTTCCGCCAAATATGTACCCTTTTTCGTTTCTTTTGTCTGTCTCTTTTGGTTTTTGCGAGTTTGTTTTAATAGGAAGTTCGATTTTTAGAAGGTTCCTATACAGAGAGAAATGATTCAGTCATTATTGCTTGTGATTCTGTCCCTTCTCCTTACTCTCTCAACTCCACTCTTAACCATCTAAGCACGAGTAAGCCAATCTATTGATTTTACTATATATATATATTTATATCAATGCATATATTTCTGTTGGTTTCGCTAGACAATCTACACAAAGCGGGAAACTATAACATCTTACATGTTCAAAGAGCGATTACAATTTTGTAAAATTATATATGATCTTATAAGTTATAACTAATTAAGAGAAAACTACTAATTTTTCAGATTTGATTACAAATTATAGTTTTGGAAGAATTTTGAAATTATAGTAAGACTTGGACCATCCAGACTTAACTCAAAAATTGATTGTACATTTCATTGGATTACAAATTTGAATCAGTATACATCTCACACATTGTTCAAAAACATTGAGTACACAAGTTGAGTTCTTCATCTTCTCTATTCTACCACATTGATGGAACATAAACTTGTTCTTTCAAATTTTGTGTCGCGCTTTCAGTAGGGAAACCTCTAACTGCACCAATTGTCCACTGCGCTATGGTCCCAGCAGCAACTGCAAACCGGAGCTGTCGCTCCAACACATCTTGGTCCTCAAACATCTCAGGACAAGTTGTTAGCTTTCTCATTATCCCTGCAACAACAGCATCACCAGAACCTGTCCTATCACAGGTGAAAGGAGTTATAAGCACATCTTCCGTTCCAACCACAACTCCATCAAAAGTAGGAGTATAGTAATGAAGCCGAAGTGTTCCATCAGTCACAACCAATAGCTCAGCTTCTCATGCCACAATGACTTGATTTCCTCTGGTGTGTAGTGGTAATAGTCTCTTCGGTTTTTCGTCTGATCAAAATCCTCAGCAAAGTATTGTGGTGTGTGGTTTCTTCTTCTCTCGTAGTAATCTTCATCAAGCAGAAACTCAAGCTCTTGCTGTGAAACTTCAATGATGTTTGCTTCATTCCATGCTTTCTTGATCAACTTCCTAGTCTCATTGCGCGATCTCCATAGCGGTAATGGTAGATTCAAGTCAAAGAATATAAGCCCTCCAAACTTTTTAGACCAATGTATTGCCCTAAAAAGAGTTGATTGCATTGTAGGAGACGTCAACACTTCTGAATTGAAATGAACAATCCTCGCCTGCATTGTAAGCACAAGCAACACAAACAAAAAGCTTAAAAGCCAAGCAGAGGTGCTCTGTTTCATGATCCAAATCATATACGGACAAGAAACCAGTCAATGCAATATGATTTATGCTCAAGACAGAGACTTTCAATAAGAAACCAAGCTCGAGCTATCAAGTCATAAATTGTTCCTCTTAAACCCTAAATTGAAACATTTTTTACCTCTTTAAGCACAGCTAAATTGAGTTCTGAAGCAAGAACTACTAGCGTTATACTGTATTTTTGCCTCATGCAAGAACTATTTACTAATTTGAAAAAAACAATGGTTGATCATAATCAAGCACATTTCGCATAAGTTTTCACCCTTTTTTTTTTTTTGACAGCAAGTTTTCACCTAATTAAAAAAAAAAAAGAAGGAAGTTTTAACCAACACAGGAGAAATTGGAAAAGAATGTCTTTGTGTGGGTTAATAAAAAAAAAAAAAAAAGAAGCATATGTATTAAATAAATAGTTTTTTATTTTATTCTATCTCATAGAACCCACGAGATGAAAATTTAAGTCCAATAGCTTATAGAAAACAAATGCAACACTTAATAGGGAGAATATTATCTTATATATTTTGACAAGCGATTTAGGATCATTGGCAACAACATCTCTTAGGCTCTTTGGGAGAACGAGCAGCGCATTGCCCATCTGCAAAACCACGCCCTAAACAATCAGTATTACATTCAAACCATCCGTAGCTATCTGAACACAAAACCCTGCAGTGGTCAAATGAGAGTTTGTCCATCTCTGCACCTACACAAACCCACATATATGTTAATCGATACAAACATAACAAGTCCTTATATATATATAGTTAATTAGTTATTCTAAATAGTACTATAATACTCTTAACTAAAGTTTTAAAACATGTCTTACCCTACTTATAAGGGCTATATTAATTTAAATACACAGAAGATTTAAAAATTAAGAATATACCTTTAGTTTTTGTATTATTAGTTCTCTCTCTTCAATTTATGTAAGTTGGACGAAAATATCCTTCTACATATAACAAACTAGTTAACGTCATAATAAAATAGATATCGACATTTCTTATATGAATTAGATATCAACGTTTTTGTATTTTCACTATTTATCAAATATCTCGGTAATATTTATTAGGTTAACATGATAACAAAATATTTATATCAATAAGTTTATAATTATATCATGCTAAGTCATCTTATATCGCGATAAGTTATAACTTATGTGATATATTTATATTTACCGTCTTAACTCATTTATTATATTATATAATAAAAATTAACGAGTTACTATCACGTGCAAAATATGAATTTCATCCAATAAGATTATTATTATCACCTACCTCTAGAAAAAGTTTTAGTTAACTTGGTAATTTGATTGTTAACCAATTTGAATCTGAACAAAAACTACCATTGTCGTAATCTTCAACCATCACATCTCCGCCGTATTCTTCTCACCCAATCATTTCAGAACCATTTTTTCCTCTACCGCAAACCCACACCATAATTATTACCTCCGCTACGGATAAAATCATCATCGCCACCATATTCTTTTATGTCGGTATCACCTCCCATGGTTTCCTTGTCTTCTCCCATTTTTACAACCACCATATAATCATCAGTGCCACCATATAATTATCACCATCAACCACCGTGAACTTTCATATTATTGTATCGTAAACTATTTTCACCATCGGAATTGAACCACCATCATTATAATCACTTTCATTGTTGGAATTGAATCACTCCGCCGGATTTCAAAATCACAACCAAGATGACACGACCCATCTAATCAATTCTTTGATAGACCCAAAAAAAAAAAAAAAAGATGATGACGAGAAGAGAAGAAAACGATGAAAAGAAGATAAAGATGAAAGATAAAAGAATATAAGGATAATGATGTAATTTTCTTTGCTAATGTACTGTGTAAATAGTGATACAAATGTGTCAGTTAATTTTCTATTCTTCCATGTATACTTCTTATCGATACCCTACTTATAATCAGAAACACAAAGACATAACAAATTTTACATCTTTATTATTGCTCTTAAAATGATCAATACTGATTTTAAAATAACAAAACCATATATAAACATACCTGAGGCCAAAATGTTGTGGTTGGACAACGAAACTGCAAATAATACAACGAGTAAAAAAGTCACCATAGTATTTTTTTCTTGTATTAAAACTATTGAGAGATTAAGATGTTCACGATTTTTCAGATCTTGGAAAGAGGCTATATTTTATACAACTTTTGGTCTTTGTGATATTTTCTTTTATCATTAATTGATTTTCCGAATTTGTGAGTACGAGTCAAATATTCAATTAAATGTCAAAGATTTTGTTCTGCCAAAATCTATATAAACAGAAGTTTTGGCAAAACAAAATCTTTGATATTTAATTGAATATTTGGCTTGTACTCTCATTTAGTATGGATAGTCGCAAATCAAAGTGAAAATTAAAAAAAGTCTTGTGACACCTGTAAATGCAAGATCTGATTGCATTGTTCATTGTTGGAAAGTTTTGTAATTAGAATTAGGAATAATATAAAATTAAATTGAAATCATATCTCTTTGTTCATTGTTGATCTGATTGCATTTGTATGATATTGTATCTATACAGCTAGATCTATTTCTTTATTGAAAAGAAACAATTTCAGCTCTGAGAAAATTAAGTCAAAGACATTGATGGAAGAAGAGTGCTTTTAGATAATGGCGATACAGTAACCAAAACAGTCAGAGATTCCGATGTCAAACACTGAAAGTCGATTTAGACAACTTGTAAAATAGATTTAGACAGCCAGAACATTTTTGTGAAGCCGAAAAGAACAAAACAGAGATCAGCTGCTCATCAGTGAGCTCAAAAATTGATTGTACATTGGATTACAGATTTGAATAAGTATACATCTCACACATTGTTCAAAAACATTGAGTACACAAGTTGAGTTCTTGATCTTCTCTATTCTACCACATTGATGGAACATAAACTTGTTCTTTCAAATTTTGTGTCGCGCTTTCAGTAGGGAAACCTCTAACTGCACCAATTGTCCACTGCGCTATGATCCCAGCAGCAACTGCAAACCGGAGCTGTCGCTCCAACACATCTTGGTCCTCAAACATCTCAGGACAAGTTGTTAGCTTTCTCATTATCCCTGCAACAACAGCATCACCAGAACCTGTCCTATCACAAGTGAAAGGAGTTATAAGCACATCTTCTGTTCCAACCACAACTCCATCAAAAGTAGGAGTATAGTAATGAAGCCGGAGTGTTCCATCAGTCACAACCAATAGCTTCAGCTTGTCATGCCATAATGACTTGACTTCCTCTGCTGTGTAATGGTAATAGTCTCTTCGGTTTTTCGTCTGATCAAAATCCTCAGCAAAGTATTGTGGTGTGTAGTTTCTTCTTCTCTCATAGTAATCTTCATCAAGCAGAAACTCAAGCTCTTGCTGTGAAACTTCAATGATGTTTGCTTCATTCCATGCTTTCTTGATCAACCTCCTAGTCTCATTGCGCGATCTCCATAGCGGTAATGGAAGATTCAAGTCAAAGAAAATAAGCCCTCCAAACTTTTTAGACCATTGTATTGCCGTAAAAAGAGTTGATTGCATTGTAGGAGACGTCAACACTTCTGAATTGAAATGAAAAATCCTTGCCTGCATTGGAAGCACCAGTAACAAACAAAAAGCTTAAAAGCCAAGCAGAGGTGCTCTGTTTCATGATCCAAATCATATACGAACAAGAAACCAGTCATTTGCAATAAGATTCATGCTCAAGGCAGAAACTTTCCATAAGAAACCAAGCTCGAGCTATCAGTCATAAACCCTAGATTGAAAGATTGTTACCTCTTTAAGCACAGCTAAATTGAGTTCTGAAGCAAGAAGCGAGTCCTCCGGCGGCTCTTTCACCGTCTCCGCCTTCATTTTCCCGTCCTTAAACTTGATCTTGACACGAGTACAAGCAGTTTTTGAATTCTCATCAAATTTCACAGCTCTCGTCTGAACTCTCTCCTGATTCATCATCAGAACCAGCTCATCCCCAAAATCATCTTCACCGACTTTCCCCATAAACGCCGCTCTCCCACCTAACCGAACATGAGAGATCGCCACATTCGACGGCGGACCTCCCGGAGCTCTCCCAAACTCCGGCGGATCCCACTGCAACATCTTCCACTGCGAGTACATGTCAGGATGCATCGGATTATCATGGACTCGTACCACCGGAACAAATTCCTTCTGCACGGCTCCGAAACAGCACACAAGAGGCGGATCATCGTAAGGAAACTCGATCCCGTCGTCGTAATCCACTAACGCCGGATTCAATTCAGGATCAGTCTCGGTAGTATCGCTCTCGGTGTTATTTTTCTCAATTACCGTCGAGGTTTGCTTCTTCTTCCTACCTTTGCGACTAGGCTTAGCGGCGGTTTCCGCTGCTGCTCCGTTTGTGATTTTGCCGCCATTAATTGAAGATTTCGGAGTGAGAAATCGCCTTGATTTTGGTGAATCTCGAGCTCCTACTACTATCTCTCTACGATCTAGTGAAGAATCAAAATGATGAAGATGAGGAAAAAGAAGAAGAGAAGCCATTTGAGGGGTTTTTACTTCAGTGTCGGGGTTTATCCAAATCTTCCTCTTCGGAAAAAAATCATATCGGGTCCTGACCCGACTTCTATTTAAACCGGGTCAACCCTAACCCGGTTCGGGTTTTTACTTAAGGCTGAAGAATCAGTTTCAGATTTTCTTAAGAAGAAACAAATTAAACCCTCGACAAAGATCTCACCGACGGATTCGATTCTCTCGTTCTCAGGCCATCCTCATCGCCGGAACGATTTCTTAGGTAATCTCGCACTCGATTCGGCTCCTCGATTGTCTCTAGATTTGGGGTTTTCGTTTCCTTGTGGGAATCAATCGATTGATTTGGCTGCTTCTTCTATTAGCAACCTTGGATCTTCAATTATCGATCGATTAGTTTTTCTTATCTCTTTCCACATTTTGGTAAATGATAGAATGTCTTCATCACTTGTGATGGAATTTAGTAAACCTTTTGATTGCTGCAACTGCTAAGCCTAGGATTCGTCTTTTTATCATTGAAGATGTTGTGATTGACTGAACCAACTCCATAAGAAAATCTCATCTAGTGCCCTTGCGTTGATCTAGCTTGGTGCTCTTCTCAGGAAACATACTAATGTGATTCTATATCCTTAGAAGTGTTGCTATGCGTTATGTCTAGGTTAAGGCTCTTTGGAATGCTAGCTCGGTGACCGTCCTGCCATTGTTTTTGATTTCTAGATATTAAGTCCAATCCGGTGGCTATTTATGTGTTAGAATCAAGATTTTGCACTGCAATCTTCATAGACACTTTAGATCTACAGGACACATCAGTAGCTTACACTTAGTGTCCCTTCATTCTATAATAAGACAACTTTTTTTCCACTCTCTTTCCCTGATTCTGATCATTTTGAACTTTATGCATCACAGAGAACAATGGGCTTCTGGACATTGTTAAAAGGCCTCCTGCTCTTTGCAAATGCACTGGCAATCCTCAACGAAGACCGTTTCCTTGTTCCAAGAGGATGGACACTCGGAGAACTCCACCAAACCGGTAGAAGGAACTCTCCCAAAGGCCAAATCATCGGTCTAATCCATGCCTGCCAGTACATGAGACTACCCCTCATGCTCATTAACACAGCAGTCATCGTCTTGAAACTCATCTCCGGTTGAAGATTTTGTGTAGATGAAGATAAACTACACTGTATTCTTAAAATGATCGTGATTAGTTACAAATCTATTTTGTGTAGGAGTTGGAATTTGTTTTGCCATCTACTGCAAACGAGTATCCCTTGCACTCAAGTTTGGTGTGAATTCTACAACATTCTTCTCACATTTTTACATGCCACATCAAACTACAAATGCCAAATAAGTAATAACGTTGCAAAGCTTACACACATGAAAATAAGGGGACTACTACATTAACCAATGAAGAACCTCGTGGAAAAACTAGTTACCAAGAATCTACTTGATTACATAACAGATCACATATCCTAAACACACAAAAATCACCAAACATGACTTCACTTCCTTTCTTGTTTCCCATCAGCTTTACTCATCACAACTTCCATTTTCTCCATCTTCTCATACTCAAACTCCTTGGTCTTGATCCCACATTCTTCCTGCATCACCATGGCAAGATTGTTCCTTTTGAAAGCTGCATATATATGCATCATGGCGAAGAACACAAGACCAGTAGATCCAAAGGTCATGACTAAGCAAGTCACAATATCCCTCATCCTATCACTTCTTCTCTTCTTCGCAGCCTCCTCTTTTCTAAGTTGTTCCTCCAAAAGCACCGGCGCCCAAGAGTGCTCATACTCGGAGTGTCTCACTTCTAAGCTCCAAGAATGAAGATTCACATTCCCACTATACGAATTCACACCAACCATGAACTCATCCTCATGTTTCAACATTTCTGACAAATCGATCCGATCAAACATCAGAGGAAGAACAGATTCAAAGCTTTTTGATTTGCTTAACCGGACTTCTAAGAACTTGCCACCAGCTTGGTAATTAATCCAAGCGTACAACAAAACTTTCTCAGTCTTCTCCAAGTTTGCAATCGTGAAATTGCTAATCTTCTCAGAAACCGTAGCACCATCAACAATCACCGCGACATTAGAATCTCCAATTTGGGTGAGATTTTCAGAAGTATCGAACTTTACTTGGAATAAAGAGTGATCAAATGTTCCATTAACAGGAAACACTACAAATCCGAGTCTCCCACCACGATTAGGAGAAATCGAGAAAGAGAAGAAAGTAGAGAATCCGGCGAAATACTCGAATTTTATATTCTTCACGGACTCAATGGGTTTCTTGTAGATGACTCGCCCACCACCGTGACTCACTGAGTCAGTCAGCTGAATCGAAGATCCGCCGTCGACGAGCTTAGCTTCGCCGTACAGGGCAAAGTCGTCGGACTCAAAGCTCGCATTTTTACCGGAACTTGTGAAGGAGAACGATGTTTCAGCTTCCGAAATGGTGATTATGGAAAACAATGAGATGACAATCAGGAGTAGAACCAGGAGTGACCTGGAGAGAATGAAGCTCGCCATAAATGAAGATGAAAGATTATGGTTGTGGAATTTGTGATTGAATTCTAGGGTTTTGAAATGCTGGGAGATGAGATCTCTTCGATGGAGGAGAGTAAAGTGATGTGGTGGGGGAAGAGAGAGAAAGAAGAGAGAGGTGTGGGTTAAGCACTTGGACAATGTGAAAAAGCGTTAAAGGTATCAACTTTTGTCTCCCTCGTTTCCTTTCTTTGTTGTCACTGTGGACTGTGGTAAACCCCAAAAATGCTAATCTTATTCGTTTAATTCCCATTACAATTTTACACTAAAACGCATTTTATTAAATTTTTCTTTCATGTTAGGTTTCATTCCCTCTTGTTTTATGAGATGATCTATCCATTTATTTTTGTTTCAATCAAGTTCATATTATTTGTTTTTATTTTTAATTTTCTGTGCACCATTTAAATTATCTTAATATATATATATATATATATAACCGAGCATTCATCCAAAACCTCTTATTAAATAAAACAAATAGAGTACTATAAAATAACATCTTTTCCTTTTTTTCTTTTTTTTTGTCATCTAGATTTATTATTAATTACAAATTATGAGAACTGTTACATAGAAGATTCTACAACTGACAATTCCTTCCGACCCTTACTAGATCCACGACAGACTACACTTCCTTCTTCGTAATCTTGATGAATACCTTCAATGATCCACGACCTGGCGACACTTCCTTATCTGCATAGAATCCTGGCGAACGGCTATAATTGTACATCGCTGGAGATCTCTTGCACACTTGCCTCCATTAATCTGCAAATTTGTTAATAAATCGCAATATCTGGGACTCGAACCCCAGACCTCTTGGTGTAGAAGCATTAATCAACCCTTGTTCAACCAATGGGCCAAGGGGGCTTCCACCTTTTCCTTTTTTTCAAAAGAAAAAAAAAAAAAAAAAAAAAAAAAAAAAAAAAAAAAAAAAACCATATGAAAATATTGTTAGACCTTAACTGAATGTTAGAGATGTCATAGATGTGGATTAATCAAGTACAGTATTAACTCCTACTATTCGGATGATAATGGTAAAAAATTCCCAACGCTTGGAGTTTGGGCTTTAAAACTATTCAAGTTACCGCCACAAACAGGTGAAAACAAAATCCCGGCAAATTTTAAAAAACGACACCGTTCCAGAGGATATTTTGAAAATCTCCCGCTGCTTGTTACTACTAGTTTACTAAAACCCATTCTTCTTCAGGTCTTTTCAACTTCGCTCTCTCCCTCTCTCTCTATTGAATCATCTTCGTGTTAACTAGGGTTTTCGATTTATCAGAAGACATAGCAATAATGGGGAAATCGAGCAGATCGAAAGGATCGAGTATCATCGGGAAAGGTGAAGTTACCCCAACGCAAATTGCTTTTATCGTCGATCGCTATCTCTACGACAATCGATTTTCAGAAACCCGAAACCTCTTTAGATCTGAAGCTTCTTCTCTCATCTCTAATTCCCCAATTCGCCAAGTATGTATTCATATATTTGTTTAATCAATTGGATAAAATCTTTTGGTTTTTGAATTTTTTTTCTTACATTTTTGTTTTTGTTTTTGGGGATTCATTCGCAGGTTCCGAATAGTTTGATGACTCTTGATGCTATGTTGAACCATTACGTATCTTTAAAGGAGCAGAAAGTGAGTCTCGATCAAGAGAAAGTGAAATTGGATCAGGAAAAAATTAGGGTTCAAAATCTGTTGCAGGGGATGCAAAATGTGATGAATTCGTACAACGCTAGCCTCACCGCTCCTCCTCCTCCTCCTCCGGCTTCAGCTCCGACTTTTCAACAGAAAATCAACAGCGTATCTTCTTCAGGTCTGGAGATTTTGTTGTTTTTAGCTGTTCTAATTTGGAATGATTAGCTTCGTTTGGATCTTTGATCTTGTCATGTGCTCCACATTATTGAATGAAGTAGCTCTAGCTCTTGTCTGCTTATTAGACCTTTATGCACATAATAGGCTTATTAGAAGCATCATATTTTGGCACAAAATTTGTCACTTGAGAACTAATAGAGCAGTGTTCTTATTTTTTCAGGCTTAACTCAGTACAACACACCAAATGTTATGTCAGTATCATTGCTAGGTAACAAAAGAGTCGATTTTCGGAATTTTTCCACACCTTCGACCAGTCAGTCTATTACCGGGAAAAGAAAAGGTCCTGAAGTTTCTGTAAGAGCTCCTCCGGTAACTAGGAAAGCGCGGATTTCTACAGCAACTGGTATGTTTCTGTGCCTACATGTTTATTGCATTTGATGTAGCTCTTAAACTAATTTTGTATCTTCTTTTTTTCTTGGACCAGGGACTAATAAGATCTCACAAGCTGATAAAGCAGCTAACAATTTCTCATCCCAAACCCCATCTGAAACATTAGCGTTGGCCAAAAACTCTGCAACTAATGAATTGATTGGTCATGGGTCAAGTGTGGTGAAGTGCTTGTTCAATACGGCTGATTCCTCAGTTCCTACTAGTTCAACATGCCTTAGGACACCACAAAAACATGCTTCTCCTGGGAGTGATAAGTCCAACAGTCCCCAGAAAGAAGTTACTCCTACAAACTGCACAATTGTTACAAAGGAGAGATTCACAGTCAGTCCTCTCAAGCAAATTACTTCTTATTCAGTGGAAAGAAGCCATCTAATTTCTTGTTCGCCGGTCAAGTCTAACCTGAAGATGTCAAATAAGAGAGACCATGTGAAAGGAAAGCTCAACTTTGATGACACTGATACAGAAATGTGCTTAGAGGCACCTGCCTCTACAGATTTAGTTTCAACTTCTCCATCCGGGTCTGAGCCAGAAGTTGATTTATTTGACATGGACTTTTCTAATCTGGATTTCTTGGGTGAAAACTTCACACTCTCGGAGCTACTAGTTGATTTCGATCTTGGTTGTGAAGGAAGTACAAATCATTGCTTGTCACAGACCCCAAATCAACCCATTGAAACTGTTTCAGGGTATGTGCTTTGTTTTATAGGATCAGTTTTTGTGAATGGATGTTATCTCTTGATGTCTGATCATACGCTATCTTAATTACAGCTCCTCTCCTGAATCAGGGGATTCTAATCTCGAGTCTGACCAGGCCTTTTTGGAATATACATCAACCGTGACTGAAGTGATTCAAGGGAAAGACATGAGCAGTCAAGGTGAGAATTCTCTGGTCTGCATTTGAGTATAGATATACATTTGCCATTTTCACTCATTCTTGATGCTTCATTTGCAGGAGATGATGCCAAGAGTGCTACAAACTCCACAACACAATGCAATCGTATCTTCAATCCTGGTACTTTCGTTTTCTCATTCTCCATTTCATGTGATGATGTGACCATATTCTAGATTTTCAAGATAAGATATTGATCATCTCCCTAACTCGAGCCATTCTTCTCTTAACACAGCCAAGGTTTGAAGGAAGAGAGTGACATGACAGACAATTGACTGATTTTGAAGACTACGATTGACTCCAAGACCACCAATGCACGATCCTCTACTTTTGCCTAACTATGCTGCTCAGTGCTAATTCTTGTAATGGTCTGTGAAATATGAAAATGCTATCCCCTAAGTTCGCTCCTAATTAACTAGTATCTATTACATGTAGTTGTATAAATTAAACTTGGATTTTTGGTCTATTGTTTTAACAGCTGATTTCTCTATATTGATATTGACAACAAAATAGGACTTTCACCATTATGCATCTATTTCCAAATACCATGTAGTCAGAAATTGGCTTACAATAGAAATTAAATGGCTTATGTTTGGTGCATGAGTCAAGCCAAGTACTTCTCCAGCTTCTCTACTTCCTCTGTGCTTCCAATGTACAGTGGAACCCTCTGATGTATCTGTGTCAAGAATCCCAAACATAAGATTTAGTCTGATGACACCAATTTTAGATGTAAGCACTTAGGAGTAGAGAGTGCATAAGAATCGAATCAAAACAAAATTCAATAAAGTGAAACTAAGTCAAATTTTATTTTGAGTTACCTCCGTCGGTTGGATATCTAGTACTCTCTGGTGACCATCAGAACCTTTCCCTCCAGCTTGTTCAACAATGAAACTCATTGGTGCACACTCATACAAAAGCCTAAGCTTTCCGTTTTTGCTCTTCGCGTCACGAGGGTACCCGTAAATCCCACCGTACAACAAAGTCCTGTGAAAATCTCCGACCAAACTTCCAATGTACCTTGCAGAGTAAGGCTTCCCACTTGGACCAGGGTCCTTGAGGTCATCAATGTACTTCTTCAGCTTCCCGTCCCACATCTGGTAATTTCCTTCGTTGAAGGAGTAGATTTTCCCGGCTTTGGGGATCTCAATGTTCTCTTGCGTGAGGACAAACTCACCGTACATTGGATCGAGCGTGAAGGAGAAAACGCCTTTGCCTAGAGTAAGAACGAAGATAACTGAGCTCGAGTACATACAGTAGCCGGCTGCTAGCAAGTTATTCCCTGGCTGGCACACGTTTACTATACACCTTTGTTCTTCTGACCCAAGCTGCAACGACATTATAAGCCAAAGGTCACGTAATTTACATTGTACGATCTCTATCTCCTAAAGATAAAACTAAAAAATAAAAGGAAGAGTAGTATACAGCTGAGATATCGTCGGAGTCGTCGACAATACATTCGTCATTGGGGCTATAGATACCGAAGATAGACCCGGTAGAGACTGCGGCGTCAATGTTGGAGGAACCATCAAGAGGGTCAAACACAACGACGTAGTTGCCGGAGTAACTCTCCTCCACCGCTACTGGCACGTCCTCTTCCTCCGAGGCAATGATTCCCGTTCTTCCACTTGATCTCAAGCAGTTGGAAAACACCTGTACACACCACCCACTCAATCTTTATACTCCATCCACCCATTTGCATGTAATAATTGTTTTTAAAACTTTTAAAGAATATCCAACAAACAAAAAAGCAAGTGTGTATGTATAAGAAAGAGACCTCGTTAGAGATGACGTCAAGCTTCTTCTGATCCTCTCCCTGGACATTAACGGCGCCTTGAACTCCGGTGAGATTAGAGATTCCGGCACGTTGAACAAGTGAAGCGATCTGCTTACAAGCCATTGATATACTCGACATCACTATCGTCAGCTCTGCATCTATCTCTCCTTTCATCTCTTGTCTCAACAACCAGCTCGTTAACGTCTGAAGCTCGTATCCACTCTTCTTCCTCGCCGCTGGTTTCGTCTCTGCCGCCGCAGCAGCATCCGCCGCCACCGCCATACACCTCACTCCACCACCAACATGATGGTTTCTTCCACTAGTTGCTCGTTTCCCGTTATTGGAGAACAGAGATCTCGGGAAAAGGATTGAAGGCTGAGATGCTGCAGCCACGTGACGTGAGCTTGAGAGAAGAAGATGAGACGACGTCGTTGTTGCGGCGATTGCTGCCATTTTTTGTGTCTGGTTTTGAAAAAAACTTTGCAAGGTTTGGTTTTGGTGGAGGGAGAGAGGATCGGATGGATATTCGGATTGTGAGGTGGACGAAGGATTCGATCTATGTAGGGTCCCACTTATCTTCTGTTATGACACGTGGCTTTGCTCTTATGGACCTAAACAAAAGATAAGCATAGGCCAAATTTATTGGTTAATGTCCTATTAAGGATTTTAGTAGTGTTAATTAAAATTGGGCCTAATGTAAAGTTTTGTTTTATCTTAGGCGACCCAAGGATATTTTTAAGTAGGCGTGGGTGGCCATATAAACCAAACTAAACCGAAGCAAATTGAGATTTTTAAAACTGAATTTATGACAGATAAACCAAACCAGTTCAAACAAAACCGAAGATAACTATCTGATCTGATTGGTTTCGATTAGTTTGTACAATATGATAGATTGATCATATTTGCTTGAAATATGATAGATTGATCATAAATGCAACTAATTTCTTGCTCTAGAATTAAAAACAAGTACATTGTAGAATTGATGAATGCAATTCTAGAAAGAAAAAGAAAAGTCAAAGAATGTTGGCTGTTTCATCGATGTAATGCATGTACTACCACTAGGAAATTTATTATTCGGGGTGATGTGTTTTGCATCAACACATTAGTAAACGAATTCGTTTACGTTAGAAGTTAGACAACCAGTTAAGTGGCAGATTTATTAGACTTCTTTATTTTAATTTTATTTTTTTAATAATTTGGTCTATTAGACTTATCACAATATACTGTCTTTAGGATGAATTTCTTGAGTTTCCAAGTTACTATAGTTCAACCGAAACAATACCAATAATTAATCAGCTTTTATATCATCAACAAGTTAGAGATATATATCGTATGTAAACACAATAACATGTAGCAAGGTTTAAGTGAGATAATAAAAATTGCAAGGATATTATCTTGAACTAACGCGTTGAATCAAATACGGACGTGAGGACATGTATTGTAAGCACGTCGCTTTGTTTCCAAGAAACCGCCTCACCCGAAAAAAGTCTGTAGTCCTGTAATGAAAAAGATAATCCAACTAAATCTTTTACAATAGTTTAAAATTATGATTACTACGTTTGTGCAAACATCAAAAGATTAATTAGTATCATGTAGACGATTTTAAAAGAATCCGGGCAAAAGTCTCTGGTAACCAAAATACTAAGCTCTGAATATTTTTAAAAAGTTAAAAAAAAGTTTGAAACACACATAATATATGACTCATGTTAATATATCATTTAATTTTAAGTATTTTCATCTGGATTGAACCCTAGTTCATCTAATCGTTGATAATACATAGCAGCAACTCGACAATACATAAATCATCTTCCGTATTCAAACTTTATTTTGTCAACCTTTGAACACACTATAATTAGGTTTATTTTATCAACGAAATTAGCATTTATCGGAATACCCACGTCCAAGTTGATGACGTTTTTTGTGATTTCCACAAAATATGCATATAAATATCGATTAGATTATAGAAACACTAAAATAAATATAAATTATAGAACATACTTTATATCCTGACCAAGCACCAAATAGAAGAAAATTAAAAAAATTGCAACTACTATACAAAATGCAATCTTTACTGTTGACAAAAATACAATTATTACTATTATAGTAACACCATATATATAGAGAATGTTATAAAGAAATAGTAAATACAAATCATTCTTGTATATATATACACACACAAACCCCACAACATCCCTTCAACATATACGCGTCCTATTTCCACGTTCTCTCTATATAACTCTTCTCCTTGAAAACATCAAGAAAATCTTTAACCCCTTAAAAAAAAAAAAATACGGAGACAGAGAAGAAGAGAAAAGAAACACCCAGAAGCAATGTCTTATTCTTCCCTCAAATTGCCAATCTTTCTCATTCTCTCATCTCTTCTCCATGCGGCGTTAGGTACGTACAAACATATATATCAATAGATCATTATATTCTTCGATAGTTAGAAACCAAGTTCTAAAATATAATCAAACCCAAAATTTGTTTCCTACTTGGATAGAAAAGTTTCATCAGTCTTTTACATCGATATAGGAACAACCTAGATTTCATAGCTTGACCAATATCACATGACCGATTTAAGATAAACTATCGGAAAAGAAAGCGTCAATCCTCATGTGAAGCTTTGTTTCCATTCTTATGTCTTACTCTTTCCTATAATTGTAGGGGAAAACATTATATGCGAGAATCTGCCAACAACTATGTGCGCGTTCTCAATATCTGCTTCCGGTAAAAGATGTATATTGGAGACGGCTAATGTGGCCGGAGAATTCACTTGCCGGACTTCCGCAGTGGACGTGGAAGGGATTGTAAACCACGTGGAGACCGACGAGTGCGTTTCCGCTTGTGGGGTTGATCGGAAAACCGTAGGGATCTCGTCGGACTCATTGATGGAAGCAGGATTTGCCGCTAAGCTTTGCTCATCGGCTTGCTTGGACTATTGCCCTAACATTCTTGATCTCTATTTCAATCTCGCCGCTGGTGAAGGTACCATAATATTCCCTTAAGCCTTGAAAAAAGAAAAAAAAAAAAAAACCAATTCATGCATTATGCATACATATATAGGCCTTCTTTTGGTGTGAATATATTATATGATTTGCACAATGCGTGCGTACGGGTATTCTGATAAAAATGATTTTGTGTATAAGTTCTTCGTTTATGATAATAAATTATTTGCTGAAAACATTTTTTGGGTTAGAAGATGTAATTATCTAATTTTAGTTACTTTGCAACCAGTTTTGTTGAGAAATTCATACTTTATTTACTAATGTATCACCAAAATAAGAAAGTGTTTCAAGATGTGGGGGTGACAAGAAAAGTAGAAAGTGTGTAAATTATGATCTTTATCATGGCTTGTTAATGAAGTAAGATTTGTATATTTGTGTGTTTTGGTAGATTCCTCGAGTTTATTACAAATGCATGAAACTCACTTATGGGAGCCACTTTCATTTTTATTCAAGACGTGGGGGTCACTTTCATTTTTTTTTTTTGGTATTTCTTATCGTCAAAGCAAGGTTCGGTAGGAGGCTAGGAGCCTCAGTTAACATAATTATTATTTATATAATAGTGATTCTCTATTTCATTGGATCCTATATATGAATATGATTTTAGGTTGGTAGTAAATAAATGAATCAATGATGCGAAAGTGTAAAATTGACGTAACGTACCAATTAAAAATTGGCTACATGCAGGTGTATTTTTACCTGATCTCTGCGATGCTCAACGGATGAATCCTCACCGTTCGATGTTGGAAATCCTCAGCTCCGGCGCTGCGCCAGGCCCTGTTTCCGAGGTTGCACCAGGCCCTACCTCCGAAGACGTCTCATCTCCTGCTCTAGCTCCGGCGTCTATGTAAAATGTTCATTAATTCCACATGTGTGTCATAATACTTTATATTAATATTTTCGATTGATGATGTCCATATATAATGGACCGTATCTTACACTTTCTATGATTTGATGCCGATATCATCAATATAAGAGGGAGGATACAGAGTGGGTTTGATTTTTGTTTCTGTTTCATAATCAACATTTCACTGTATAATAACAACTGTATGATACCATTGTTTTGTCTTCTTGTTCGATAAATGAATATATGTATACCATTGTGCAATCGCATGTCTTAAATTTATTGGGTTTTTTACTTCATAGTTTTGTGAGGAATATTTTGTTCATTTTTCTTTTGCTCATCACTAATGTTTTCAATGTGCTAAAAGAAAAAGAAAAAAAAAAGAATTTTGTTTTTGGAAGATAGTGAATTATGTTTACCAAAAAAAAAAATAGTGAATTATGTAAAAAATCTTATTTCTTATTCAACGATTAATTAAATTAACTGAACCAAAACTCAAATTTTACAAGTTTTTTAAGTGATATGTTGTGGGTTGGAGACCCGAATTTTGCAAGTTTTTAAAAAACTTTACTTACAACCAGCAAAGTGACGTCCGACACATTATAAAACACGTGTCAGCTGACTCATCAACCATAACGGTTGACTAACATCCATTAATTATATTATGATTCTGAATTAGACATTAAATATAAAGTTTGGGTATAAAATTCAATTTTTTTAGAGTTTGAGATGATATTAATCTTACGTGTTTGTCTAGGTCGAAAAACACATTTTACGAATACAGATTGTACGAATATGAAATACTCTTTTCTTAACAAATTGGAGCCTTACAAACAAGGTATGTAATATTTAACAATAAAAATTTTTTGTAGGTGACAAACTAATTCTGGTTTCTTAAAAAAGAATAAAAACTAGAATCTAATTATTTACAGATAATCTCAAAGATAACTTGTATTTTTTTTAAAATCTTTTTATACGCAGCTCAATTTAAATATTTATAGGATTTACATTGCTAGGTTGGATTATTTTTTTAATTAAATTCTTTTGTTATAAAAAGAATTTAAACCACAAACCTTAGAAAATAAACATTATACTGATCTTTATATAACTGGTTTCATTTTTTTAAAATCTGTGATTTTATCAAAATTATATTTGTAATCATGACATAATTGAATATTGGCAAAATTCAACTATCATAAGATGTGAAAACAAATTGAATGAAGGAAACCTCTAATAACGATTCTATGTTCGGTTCACAATGTGCCGGTTATCAACTAATAATAATGGGCTTTAGTTGAAATGGCCCAGATCCACTAAAATGGACATATATAAGTAGGGTTTACTGCATGTGCCGATATTTCCTGCCCTCTCTCGCTCTCTTTTGTTTTCAATCTTCTGTGCCTCTGATTTCTATCATGGATACTGTTGATGATCCGATGCCTGCGCATATGAAGATATTCGAAACCGCAAAGACGGTCGTCTTCTGGGATGTGGAGGATTGCCCAATCCCTAGTGGTAGCAATGCTGTTGAGGTTTCGAAGAACATCAGATCAGTACTTGTGAAGATGAAGTATCTTAGTAGGGCTTCCATCTATGCTTATGGCAATAAGAATCAGATCGTGGATGGTCTTGAACCAGCCGCAATTGTCGAGCACCAAACAGAAGGTGAATTCCCTAAACTCTCTTGCACTATTTCTTATATCTTTTCTCTGTGCGATTATATATGTATGTATGCTTTCTTCCAGGAGATGCATATAACACATCTGACCCTGTTAACATGGATTATCGTGGTGCGGCATCCATCTATGCCGATGAGAACCAGGATAAGTCTCCTGAAGTCGTGGTCAATCATTCACCAGGTGAAAATTCCTTAAAGCTCTCTTGCGCTCTTTTTCTTGTGCTTACATATGATCTAAGTTTATTATATACATCATGTATGCTTTCTTTCAGGAGACAAAAATGCCAGACTTCGGAAGATTTTAGTGAACATTTTTACCTGGGCATTGGATAACCCTTCACCAGCAAACGTGATGCTAATCTTGGGAGAGATCGAAGAACACCACAGCTTCGTAGCTGCTGTTCACCGTTTGCAAAATTTGAAGTGTCACAATGTTCTCTTTGCACAGCCTGAAAACAAATCAGTTCCGCTAGATTTTCCTATATCGACAAAATGTCTTTGGGAAACACTATCAGTTGGAGGCCTCCATATCGTCCAAACTGAACCTGTTGAAAATACTTTGAAGGGAACGAGAAGGTCGCCTCTCAGGAGGTTTATTTTTGCTTGCCGGAACTTTAGTTTGTACTGCTTCCCGAAGGCTGTCTCGACGACTCCTGCCTAAGGTCTTCTAACTAAAGTTCTTGGGGGTGAGTTTTGCTAGCTCAAAAATTTTGTTGCTTCCTTTTGTTGCTAAGCTTACACTTGTTTGCTTTTTTCGGGCTGTGGTCTTTCTATCTTATGTTTGAGTGTAAATTTCCAAGACTGTGAACAATTTTCCTTTTTAGGCATTAGAGAATAGATTAGATATTGCTCAACACATACAAAAGCAGAGGAATAATACAGAGGAAGTCAACGGAAGTGTTGATTGAAAGCTGACTTGGTCAGCAAACATAGATGTAATAATTTCTTACTCAGGTCCGTATTTCACCAAATACGGACACATATATTCTCACCCAATGAAGGATGCCGTATTCTCTTGCAAATGCCACAATACTGATTGGATTTCCGCAACTGAAACAGCTACTTTTGGATTCAACTCCTTTTGGCAAGAGAAAACCGAAAAGTAAGGATCAATAAATACATAAGCTTATAAGGGAAATGGATAACAAACTCCATGAAGTTCTCAAGTGTGTAACATCCCAAAGAGGATAAAGATTCAAGATATCGCTAAACAAAACCATGATCATATGTTTTATAACAAAGAACAAAAGAGATGCTTAGGTGATTCTCTGGACAGAATCCTTATAACAAGAAAAACAATCATGATACCAACTAATGCAACAGATCTAAGGATCCGCAACACGTTGTGAGCTTTAGATTTGGACAGCTGTGAATTTAGAATTCAGACTGATGCAGCAAGTTGTGAGTTTTCACATTAGGTCTTCTCCAGTAGCTAGGCTTTTCCAAGGCCATTTTGTAAGTACATCTGGCACCTCCGATATGTTTTGAGGCTGTGATAAGAGAACATTGCACTTTCTTTTGATTGCCCGAATAGCACCGATGAACCCCATGTCTCCTGAGATGTCTCCAAGGATTAGCATCAAATTCACTGGTGGTGAGTTATGATTGCCAAAGTTATAGTTGAGAAAGTCCAACAACATCATCGTACGTCTCCCATCTCCTGAAATATACATATATGATAGAAAAGAGAAAATAGTGCACTTAATTAATTAGAAGGAATTTACTATCGGGCCAGTGACTGACATAGAATCCACCAAAGCGATCCCTCATATGCTGATAATCACCATAGGCGGAGACTGATTCGATATAACCATGATAACCCTTTTCCTTAAGCCCCATTCTAATATTATCCTTAACAGCGTGAGCATCGAGACCATCAGGGATTGGGCAATCCTCCATGTCCCAAAACACTACAGTTTTCGCTGCTGCAAGGTTTTACAGATTAAGAAACGCATAAATAATTACCAAGGGTCTAAAACTGAATCAGATCGACTCTAGCATATAATTAAATCATCGAGAGATAGAGATAGATCTTAGAGTCTTACAGTTGCACAAAGACATATCGTGAATGATGCACGAGACGGCGGAGGAAAAGGAACCTAGAATAATTGGAAGAAAACCATAACTTACAAGTTTGAAGAAAAATAATATGGACATATTACATAATAATGAATGTTTTGTCTCAGTCATAAGAATGTTCAATGGAAAGTAAGTGATTGATAAATGGACAAAGCCTGAAAATAATCTCTTAAAGAGATCTTCCCATGAGGCACACTAATAAATCACAATCATCACCATAAATACAAACAAGGCTTCAAAAGTATATAAATACACCCACATATATGTGTATGTATGTGCATATAGATGGAGATAGAGAGGGGGAACAAAATAAGCATATACAAAGCTTTTGAAAACGCTATTTATCAGCGCTTGTTACTCTTCTTAGCTTCCAGTGTAGTCCCATCCTTGAGAGCTTGCTGAGCATCGCCTTCCATACCGAGCTTGAACAAGCAAGCCGCTTGCAGATACAATGCGGTTGGCCATTCCGGAGACACAACCTGTGCCTGCAGTGCATCTGTCAGAGCCTCTTGTGCGTTCTCGTTCATCAGATATGACAGGCACCGCCGTGCGTGTACTGTTGGTGACACCATTGTTCCCCCATCTATGAACTATACAACAAAACAAGCCAGCCTTTTCAATTTAATGACTGAATGTCTAGCCCTATGATGGCTCTTGGCATGAAAATTTTCTAAATCAACAAAATTCGAGGTATGTTGCATTTAGAGATATTACCTGAGTGTAGCAATCGACTGCGGTTGTAAAATCTTTGGAACGGAAAGCTAAGTCTCCTTGCTTCTTCGAATTGAGAGATTCCTGCATCTGGTTGGTCCACATTTGAAACGAGAGCTGCAGGAGAAGGTAAATAAAACCATATTCATAACAAGTCCCTAATGCAAAAGACTAAGCCGTGAGCGAAAGGAAGGAATAGATTAACACCTCATTGGCAATTCCTTCATCATCCTTGTATCCAATCTTACTAAGTATTTCATGTATGGCTGTAAGATCCACTCTTAAGCATGCATCACCAAAGGGTGTCAAAGAAAGCGGAGACTCTTCCTCAGCCTCGGTTTCATGGGGGATACCCATAAGAACGTATGAAGCTACATCAGATTCCTTCTGGAGTGTGACAAGTGAAGTGACGAGAGATTTCACATTTGGTCTTTCTCGAGCTTCATACTGCAGACAACGTGTGGCTAAGCGTACTAGCTCAGTTCCGTCTTCGTTTGAGAAATGACCCTCGAGAGCAGAATCCATTAACATTGCACAGTTCTTGCCTCTGATTAGGTCAAGCGCCTGTATACAAGCGAGGTTAGAGAGTCACTGAGAAAGAATGAGACAGGAAAAAGATGATGAACATCATTTGGATTTTAGTAAGGATTGAAATACAGATTCTTTCCAACAACTATCCAGCAGGACACAATGAGCCAGGTCCTATATTACATCTAAAGTTTGTATATCTTCTATTAGTAGAGGACTTACATGGCTCGGTGGAATATGTTTTCCACTCATGAGATCGAGCAGAACGGTTCCAAAACTGAATACAACACTCTCTGGTGTAACTCTACCTGGCACAAGATGAACAAAGTGGATTAAGCTTAAGAACTTTGTGCCCTGAAACATTTTGGAAGCTAAGGGACATATATAAACATGAAGCAGAGATAGTTTTACCCGTTCGCAAATACTCTGGAGGAGTAAATGCCAAGTTTGTGCTATAACTCTTCCCATCTCTGCTATTTTTCATGAGTCCAAAACAAGACAACCTGGGATTCCCATCCTGTAAACCAACAAAAGATAAACAAAATTTACGACTTCAAATACAAATCACTCAGAGAGAAAAAGAAAGATTGAATCAACATATTCACCTTGTCAAACAAAACCCTGTAAGCATTGAGATCATGATACAAAGCTCTCCCTTTATTACTACAATATTCCAATGCTTGCGCTAAACACAATGCAACTCTTAACCTCATGGCCCATTTCATCGGATGATTTTCCCCTGAAAACACACAAAAAATCATTCAATCAACTACAGCATCAGAAAATACACAAACCCTATGAAACCAACCTTGTTCTGATCATTCAAATCACAAACTGAATAGCGTTTTAAGTACTCTACTCACAGTGGAAAAGATGCTTTGCAAGCGTTTCGTGAGGCATAAACTCAGCTACGAGTAATCTCTCTTCTCCTTCGTAGCAACATCCTATCAGATTCGCTAATCTATCACTCCTCAAGCTCCCAACAGCTTTAGCTTCATCCTAATCAAACATTACCATTTCCTCAATTTAGACCCCCAAAATCAAATCTTTGCAGAGATTGATGATAAGGGCAATGAAAAAGAGTTTCGAAATACCAGGAACTGTCTATGATCAGCCCAAGCCAGGCGATTGAAGCGTTTAACAGCGATCAAGCGACCATCATCAAGCCTTCCTCTGTAGACAACGTTAGGAGCTTTCTCGCCGTGTTCTGATACAATGTTGTCTGAAGAGAAACCTCCGGTAGCAGATTTCAGCTGCTCTAGTCTGAATTCCTTAAAACTCGGCCACACTTTTCCTCCATTTTCTTTAACCAAGAGAGAAGAAAACAGAAATCAGACAAAACCCTCAAAATCGAAAACACAAAAAGGAAATTCAAGAGAAGCAGACCGAGATCGGGAGATTCGAGAACTGAAGCGGATTTGAAGTGAGAAGGGAACAAGCAGAATGAGAACTTAGAGCAACGAGCTCCCATTTGATGACTAACGTCGGCGATGAAATCAGGTGATCGGACTTCCGAGAGAGCGGTGGACAAATCAAACTATACAAAAATTGTCATTGTTAGAACCGAAAGTTGAAGTCTTTATCGATTTCGAAATGCATACAGAGAGAAAGTCTCAAGCTTTCTTCTTCTTCTTCTCGGCGTTTTCAGACTTCCCTCTACAAAGAGGATTGTTTTTGTTTTTCTTTTCTAATTAATATTTAAATGTTTTTTATCCAAAAGTTGTTTTTGCCACAAAACTTTGCGCCTCTTCCTTTTTAAACCTTTTTGCAATTCCTTGTTTTTCTTGTTGTTACGAAATAGTATTGTTTTTTTTTTTTTAATAATTTTCAAGTACATGTGGTAGTTTTATTGAATTACTATAAGCTTAAAAAATTGGAGAAAAAAATTTCATGAAAGAGCTAAAATCAAACCATAGGGTGAAATTAGTGAATCTCTTTTACTATTTAACCGTTGAAATAAGGCACAAAAAGCAGAAACACTTTTGTCATGTTTGAAAGTTGAAACCGCGTGAACTTCATCATTTAGACCATTTGTTGGCGATTGACTTTAAAAATTATTATTTTCTGGCTGACTTTTGTGAGTATTATGAATTCATACTTTGTAATAAAATTAAAAATACTATTACAGATCATATGTGAAAGATTTCATGTAGGAAAAGAAAACCCACCTATATATAAATTGCATAGTACCTTGTCCTAAAGTTTGAGACTATTTTTATGAAAATAGTGTCCATAATAAAAGGATATATAATAGGTTAAGGTTGTTGAGCAAAAGATATTAACGTACGGATCTATAACGATGAGCTAAAAACACTAATGTTTGACGACGTTATCTTGTTTCCCTTCTCTTCAAGTTGGGTTAAGACTTAAGAGCACTATAATTTTAGTTTATACAATCTTCAAACCAGTATAGTACAAATTCCACCATTCTTTCTTAGCATCCAATAAAAAGACTAAAGACGTACGTTTTTTCTTTGTCAAAAGCTAAAGACGTACGTTATCTCCATCCTGATTCTGATTATAGATCAAGCAAAAACACCCACACATTAACTTGCAAATGATCAAATCTTGGAGATATAAATGATATATATATATATATATATATATATATATATATATATAAATATAAATATATGATAAGGTAATGTTTCATTGAGAAAAGTTCTAGAAATCAGGTACCCTCTAGTAATGAATCATTCTAAACTGGTAAATTAGCTTGAAAATGCAATGCTCACGAAAGATTAAAGCATGTGTGGGGGTTTGCAATCAACACATCTATATTTTGAGGTGTTTTAAGACATCAAATCTCATAAAGAATTTATTTACGAAGAAAATAAATTTTCATATACACATGATGAACTTGGTTCCATTATTGTTGCGAACAACTTTCACTGATTCAAAAGTTGTCGTTTTCGTGAAGAAATGTTTTACATATCTTGATACACGTTATCTCCATTTTCGAATTTTGGAAACGATATAAAGATTTTCTTTTAAAAAGACGTAGTTTGAACAAGAGTATTTTAAAATTGTCTCGAGGCCACAATATATATATATCTCCTTATTACTGCATGTGTGTGTTGGTAAGTGGGCGTTAAATCACTTTTCAACGTTACATGCACTTCTTAAATTTGTTTGGTCTCTGATTTATGTAGCCATGGCCATGCTTGGCCAACCATGAGTTCTAAATATAGCTTATGAAAGTGGTTTTTTCATTATTAACATAGAGGATGTAAGGCCCTCTAAAACTATATAAATTAATGAGGTTAAAAATCAAGAACTTCATAAAACACACCATATCCCGACAGTTGGTATAATGATAATGTCTCTTTCTTTCTGCATTTGAATTAATGATTTTACTACCAATATATGACACCAGAGGACCCTCTTTATCATAATCTCTCAAATACTACAACAATAATTAGAAGAAGTCGACACCAAAAGTGAAAAAGAAAGAAGAAGATTTTCCAGCCAAAAATTAAAGAAAGGACATCATGACTTACGAAAAATGTAATCCCTCGTTTGTGAAACATGAATCACAACAATTAATGAGCATTATCATTGCATTCATACCAACCATATATGTTTATCATATGTGTGCATCGCTATGTCGCTGTGTTTGTATCTTCTGCTGCGCAGCGAATAAATATTAGTCAATTGCCAAACGCCACATAATCTTTGAGAACGTGAGACACCGAATCCTAAGAAACAATATCTAACCACAAAAGAACAGAAAAAAAAAAACAAAAAACATCGACTTTATCAAATATATGCATTCAAGCAGTGGGTCCAAAATATTATTCGATCGGTAGGGTAACTAAAAAACTAATAGAGAATTTTATAACCTTTCCAATGATCTATATATTATCAAAATATCCGAGTATTGCTAAACACAAGTGATATTTTGGACCATCAATTAGAATGTTCTATCTTACATTTGTTTGTTGTTTTTGTTTATATTCAACTAGCATGTTCGATTTGAAGTTGTGACACCTATATTAATAAACATCGGTTAGAACTTCATTTCAAATTCGAATGTACGAAACGGTTAGAACTTCTAAGTTAGAAGAATCGGTTACTTTCTTATATCATTAATGAAACTATCGGAGTATGGATTTGGTGCGTTGGATTTTAAGGACTAATTAAGAAGTGTTTAACTATGAGCACCGAAAAAAATGTGAAAGGGAAAAAAGGAAAGGAAGAGACAGGGAGATTTTGGGTGACAAAGCTAGTGTCCTAATGAGAAGATGTGAAACACATGTGAGCCCACATGGTATGTGCCTTTGACCACATTCCTTACCGACATACTCCACGTTCCCTCTTCCCACCTCCTTGCTCATTTTCATTTTCTTCCCATTTTTTACCCCAATTGTTTCTATTTGTTTAACTTCTTCACCCACTACTATTCCATGAGAAATTATTTACATGTAGGTTTTGATTATTAGCTAAACTTAGATGATGCTATTATGATCGTTGTAGGCTGTTTTAGTAAAATGAGTTGGTGAACAAAAAGTTTGAATCGCAATAAGATTTTGGGAACAAAAATGACTAAATGAAATCCTAAAAATGTATCGTAGTTTCAAAACGATTATATAGTTTTGATGACGTCCTTCACCAAACAAACGGCTGAAGAATCATAAAATAGCTAAAGTAGTTCATAATTTTAGACAAACAAAAAAAAGAGACACTAAGAAATTCTGATTAAAAAAAATTAAAAAATTCCGATTTCCGATGAATTTATGGCAAGGATTAAACAGAAGATAAAGTCATCGTCCCATTTGGGCAGTTGATTATATATAGCTAAGCGAAAGTTCATCGTTAACCTAAAATGGTTATATTTCTGTTTTTAGTTATGTTATCCTTCTGTCAAATTGTGAAATCCCTAAAAGCCACTACACAATCATCGGATTACTTGAGAAACAAGGAACTGGAACTATACAGACTGCATCGAGCTCTTTTCTGGATCAATAATCATGTCATCAACATTTACCAATAATCAATAACCTGAAAACTAAAGTCGAGCAGCGTTCTCATGCGCCATTGGTACCATTATCAGTGTGACCTCCATTGCTGTCTTTGCCATTCACTTGAGCCCTCAGTCTCTGAAAGACCACAAGGAAATTTATACATATTAAGATCAATTTACTGGGGGTTTTTAGTCGGATTTAACATTGGAAGCTAATTTAGGTGCGTACCCGATCTGCAGGATCAACACCGTTCCCGTTCAAGAGTTTGTGATTCTCTTCTTTGCTTCTGTCTTTCGAGATCACAGGGAGCAATGCCGTTGTTCGATCAGGCAATTCTGTTTTAAAACAAAATCATATGAGAAAATTTGTGGGTTTTCTGCAAGTAATCACTAAAGTCAAAGATCAGACCTGGTAATTTCTTGTCGAGGAAGAAGACAACCAAATTCACAGTATACCACGCAACAACCACATCGACAGTGTAATGTTTACGGGAGGCAATAATCAAGAGGCTTTGCAAGATGGCAACAACCCAACCTAACAGCTTTATGAACCTGTGACAGGGACATTTACAAGCTATTACAGAGATTATTTTGTCCGGTTATTGTTTTACGATATGACTAGAGAAACTTTGTACCTTTTAGAGCCGTATTTTTGGTAAGTGCGGATAAAGACTAGTGTGAATATCATGTGCGATGAGAAAATCAGGTCTCCACATCCGTATATCACCCCACGAGGAACTGACAAGATCAGCGTATTATCACATAAGAACTAGAAGAAACATGCGTCAAAAAATTGTGTTGAGGGAAGGATAAATGATTAGAACTCACAGTTGAGCAAGAGCACCTCAAGAACGTTATGTGGCCGTGGCAACCTGGCAAGCTCAGAACCCTGTAAGTTAACACAAGAGACTAACCAGAATAAACACATGAATATGGATGATACCCCCCTTTATAGAACTTTATTTAGTTTTTACCTCTCGACAGTGATAGTTAGGGCCAGGAAGCTGAGTCGAATAGAATGTTATAACACGGAGAAACTGACAAGCCTGTTTATGGAGAGAATTGGCAACAAACTTCAAGACGAGCAAGCTTTGAATTGCATTTACGTAGCAAAGGGCAAAGAGTACTTACAACTAAGAAGGCGAGAACCCTGCACCATATCAACACAGTGTATATCTTCTTGCTCTTCACGATGAAAGGATGGAAAGTCCACTGCAATATTTAACACGAAACAAACCATATAACAGTTGCTTCACCAGAACAGAACCAGACATGAATCCTGAGAAAAACTCACCAGGAAAAATGAAAGAAATACACAAGTGAACACAGTTTCACTTATGTAGCCTTTATCTTGACCAAGCTCCTGAAAACCGAAACAAACCAAAAAGAGCTTAACTATAATATATAGTCAGACGAATAAAGGGATCAAACCAAAGCAGCTGAAAGATTCGAGACAAACCGGAAGAACAAAAAAGCCAGAATCTTGAAGCGTTGGTCCTGGCCGATGAATATAATGAACTCCCCTAGCAGCTAAACCATGAATATACTGCACATAACAGATGCATTCATAAAAGGACTAACACAAAATCGAAACTAAGAGAATAAATTAAGAAAAGGGTAACTTCAAGTCCTGTACTTTAATTTCCCACAAGGCCTTAAGTAAATTATAGGTATAACAAACCATGATCATAACCTTTTACTGTATCCTACGTTTTCATTTTCAAACTTAAGCAAAAAGAAACCGGAATCTGAGAAAAGGGTAATCATTCAATAGGTGTCGAATTCAAATAATATACGCAGCTCCAGTCTACAATTAGAGATTGAAGTGATCAGAAAACTGAAATTAAAAGATGAAAACCTGACAGAGAAGACCAGCAAGAAGGTATTTCCAGTTCTCAGCGAGGAGACCAATCTCTGTCGTTATCTCCGAACAAAATCTCTTCCATAGCTACAATTTTACAAACAAATCAGCCAATAACGTCAAATTTAATCGCAAGATAGCAAAATCAGAAAAACGACCAACCTTGGAAGCTTCGCGGCGAATATAAAGCGTCATTATAATCTTGTTTGTTATTAATCTTCCACTTCCATATTACTTGAGACCCCAAACAGTTTGGGTCAACATCATCAAACCAAACCCAACAAATTTGAATTTTTTTACAGATCTTAAATTATATGTGGAATCCAAAATTTTCAGGTAACCTAAGTCGAGGTAAACACCGGTGACTCAACCATCGAATCGAAGAAACGAGAACGACGGTGATACCAAAAGGGAAAACCCAAGAGATCAAAAGACGAGAGTGAAGAATTTATAAACAAGAGATTTTAAACGTTGGAAAAGCTTATTCCTTTAGCAGGATCTGAGACGACAACGACGATAAGTAAAAAAGCCCTAAAACAAATTTCTCCGTTGCCCCCAAAAATCTCCGATAGAAGCAAAATCAGCGTTTTTGCAAATCAATTTAAGCAACGTTTTGGGTGTACGACAAAACGCGAGTTCCACACGGAGAAAACGGTTGAAATCTTTATTTTTTTAAAACAAAGTCGCGACTGATGATGGGTGGGATTAATTACTCTGTTTCATAAAGTTGAATATTTTTTCACACATTTCCTTCACATATAATATTCTTTTATTTTAACTCCAACTACAGAATAAATTAAGAAATGTTATATATATTTTGCATAGAATGTAAAAACATTTTCTTTGTACAATAATTCGTTTTTCCAAAACATCTTACACTAAATGTAGAAAAATGGTAAAGTAGATACTGTTTTTCAACAAAAACCTAACACTAATCATTACAACGATCTATATAGTAGGATAAAAAGATAACTAATGATTAAATTTTGGGAGATTATCCAATAAAGTCATATTCTACTAACATCCTTTCTTTCTTTTCTTGTCATCATCTCATAGAATTTTAATGAAAGAAACAAACACCAATCACTTGAGGAGGCAAGGGAGGATCGTGTATTGGTGCAAAGAACTCCCACCTTTGAGCAACTACTTTCATAAATTAAACCAAACAAAAATACAAAAGCTTAACGATTAATCCATTAGTTTTATATTTTCTGAGTCTAAAGTACTAATAAACCTTTTGATTGAAGAAGTGAGTACCGTTGGTTGTTTATTCATAGCTCTCTCATGTAAATTTGGCGCCCACAAACTGAAAAATCAAAATCCCTAACAGGACAACACCGAGCTGGATTCCGATTTGGAGCATCACGTTCTTCAGAAATGGCCAGGCTTTCTCCGACCATTTCCTCTTCCTTTCCGCGCTCACTGTCGTAGTTCCTTCTTCTTCCTGTGTTTCATCATTATCATTATCTTTTGTCTCATCTACTTCTTCTATCG